CACCAGGGGTTTGGTGCTGTATACCCCCCCCCCAAAAAAAAAATTCTAAACTTCAGCTTTCGGAAGCATAATCTAGCATTGTTTAATTAAATGCTCACAATCTTACTCTTCACCTTGAAAATATTTAACTCCTTTAGTAAAGTTTTCACAAACACACAACTCACAGGACTGAGAGAAAAGCTATCCTGCAGCTAATGGTCTCCGTTGTGTCATTACAATTTAGAGCACAACATATACTGTATTTGAAAGAAAATAAATGAATAAAAATGACAATTTTTTCCGAAAACTTCAGCTTTCGGAAGCATAATCTAGCATTGTTTAATTAAATGCTCACAATCTTACTCTTCACTTTGAAAATATTTAACTCCTTTAGTAAAGTTTTCACAAACACACAACTCACAGGACTGAGAGAAAGGCTATCCTGCAGCTAATGGTCTCCGTTGTGTCATTACAATTTAGAGCACAACATATACTGTATTTGAAAGAAAATAAATCAATAAAAATGACCATTTTTGTATTACACATTTATGTTTACACTAGCCCTTTTTTTGGTTGAGATGCAAAAGTAAAAAAACAAGAGCTAGTATAACCAGAGAAAACAGAAAGGTTTGCTGTGTGACAAAATGAAGTTAAAACAGTAATTAAAATCTTTATTAGCAGTGTAGTGAATGTCACTAACCTTTTGCATGTTGTATAGAGCAATTCAAGTGGGTCATCAATAAGAAAGGACCTGATGTGCACCTCAGGGAATGAAAGAGAATTAACAGCTTGTTTCTGCTTTATTTTTATTTCAATCTGCCAATGTAGTTACACAGAAAAATCTAACAGTAGGACATTCAATAGCATTTTAACCTTATTTTGTGCATAAAAGTGGTAGTTTGGAAAATCAGTACAGAGACACAAGGTTTTATTCCAAATATATCTCAACTGTTTCCTAGCAGCAACTAAATTATTTGTATTCTTCGTCTGGGATGGCCAAAATAAAGCATTTCAACATTTGTATAAAATACTAATTATTGTTTGAATAATTTTCTAGAGGCACCAGTGGGAAAACCTATACAGCCATTGCCTGGACCTAAGAAAGGTGAAAACATTATATATAATGCATGTCATTCTGCTAGATGTTATTTTAAAGCTACATATCTATTATATTTTTTATTTATAATATTTAGAACAATCATTTGAAAATATTCATTCTTTCACTTAATTAATTCGACCTAAAGCCTCCATTCTGCAAATTTGATCATGTAGAACAAAAAAGGTAAATAATAAATGAAGCTTGATCATTACAATAGTAATATTAATTATTACAATAGCATTACAGTATACAGTAGATTATAATTATATACAGTGTATTGTAGTGTACTGAATATTGCTTGTGCTTTCCTTGTACCTTCTTCCTTAACATGTATTTTTAGAGACCTCTATGAAAAACAAGAAATAGCTAGCAGAACAAAAAGATAACTTTTGTGAAAACTAACCAACATGATTAGAGAAGGACTTGAACTCAGAAATGCTGTGCCAAAAATCAGTCAAAAGCCCTCAATATTAAATAAAAATGCCACACTTTTTACTTTTTATGTATGACATATCTAATATCAGGATATTGTGTTGGAAGCTTCCCTAAGTTCACATTTTCGCCTATAAAAAAATCCTCATTATTGCCTGTGGTCTCCATCTATTATCCCATAAATATCAATTCATGAAAAGAATAGGGGAATGAGAACCTTAGGGTTCTGTTCACACAGTCCTCAGTCATGTTCCATACAAAAGCTGATAGAAGCTAGAAGGCAGAGCACTCTGTATAAACAGAGTTATAAACAGTGCTCTGCCTTCCAGCTTTTGACCACTTCTATCTGGAGTGTAACATATTCAGAGGGTTGTGTGGAAAGGACCCTAAGGATGTCACTCCCTCAGGGGTGGACTGACCATTTGGAAACTCGGGCACTGCCCGAGGGCCCGGGGTCAGTAGAGGGCCCCATGTGATGCCCCTGGTACCTTTTTCATAGGCTTTTTTGAGTTTGGGCAAGGACACAGGGACCCCATGATCCCCTATTGCCCGGGGGCCCCATGAGTTGTCAGTCCGGCACTGCACTCCCCCATTCTTTCAACAAACTTTTTTTATGGGATATTAGGCGGTATTTGCAATTTTTCTATTTCCTTTTTACTGGTTTGTTGATACTGCATGGTTTCATCTGACGGTTCATAGAACCACAATGCTTCTGTACACTTATACCTTGAAATTAGTGTGCCAGATTACTGTGCTTTTTGTATCCATGTGGTCTTCAATCAGCTAAATCGTTGTCATGCCTTGTTTTGTAATCATCTTGGTACAGGCAGAACTTTGCTTGGGACTTTAGCAAAGGGAACAGTGAGCAACACAGCAGTAATATCACTCTATCACTACAAATCTCTTGTACAGATAGCAGTGTGTTAGATACACACTCCAGATATACTGTACATCTGTGAGTCTGTAGACATAAGAGTGCTACTTATAGATGTTATCTATAACATAGTTCAGTTCCACTTTAAGACATCAAGAAAACCTTTATTGAAATATATTTACTGTATAGGATATATGTGGGTGTCATTGCTGACTTGCACTTCCCAAATTGCTAGATCTTTTGTTCATTTAAATCGGGATTTGACCCAGGAAACCTTATCCTTTTAATAGTGTAATACAAGATAATAGAGCCCTGATAGTGGGCATCTTGCAGTTGCATTTACCAACGTCCAACTTTATCCATTGCCTGGTGCCTCTAGGAACCATTTTCCCCAACTCCTAGGCCCTGCCCCCGGCTGTAATAAATGTAATTCAGTAATTACAAGTAATGTCCAGAGTATTTCTATTTAACTCCTCTAGGGCTAAAGGAACAGAGTGGGATTAGGCACCCTTTACATGTTCGGAACTATTTTGCTGCTTCTAAACAGGAATATTGTACTGAATTATTTTTTTTAATTCCTTTGTCATATTGAGCTATGCTAAAGAATCTCTGTTAGACAGTCACACTTTAGTTTTTATGCATAGAGGATTTTAGTGGCTTCAAGATTTGAGTGTCAGTGACCCAGAACAAATATGCAGATAAGGTGTTGCTGGCTTTCCTGAACTTTGTTCATGTTCCAGGACAGTGCCCCAGGTATTATTGAAGCAAACCAAGCAACTAGATCTAGGTCAGAAATGGCAGCCTCCCCATTTCTTTCAGGACAGGGTTTCTTGCAGACTTTAGCACAGGACAGCAAATTAGAACTTTCTTACATAATGAAACAATGTTTTTCTAATGCTTAGCCAGTTCAAAACAACATTACAGCAACATTACTAAATATGTTTGGGGAACATAGCATTTTATTATCTTTCTCTTTGTAGAGAAACCAGACAAAAAAATGGAAAAGATATCTACTGAAATAAAGAAAGGTAAAGACATAATGATATTACAACTCTAGTTATTTTTATTATTATATCTTTAATATTTAAAATTATGTGCCTCAGTATGTGGTGAACAAACAAGTAAAAAAATAATGTAAGGACTCCCAAAGAGCATTATCCTGATTATCCCATAAAGCATTATCCTGATTAAGTCTCCTTTTCCCCATGGAGACCAATGTATAATCAGGTCGCTAGAATCAGAAGCTGGTATGAGGCTGCAAAGCTCTATGTAAAACACATTCACAATACAATTACAATTTCAGATTATATTCTGTAGGAGTTTCCTTTAAATCAAATTGTTTTTTTTTTGTCAAACAAATTAAGTTGGTAAAATCTTGTTCATATGCACAATCCACACAAGATGTGCAGTGAGCTAGTAAAGGGGTTTTTAGGATCCCTCAGAGTTCACTTAAGGTGCCCATACTTCATATAAGAGCGTGGGCTCCCCATCACTCCCTTGTTGATGTTAGGTCATAAAGTGACCAGGATCTAGTGAGGATCTTTTATTACAAAACCCGAATATGGGATTATGGTATATAATTTCCCCACCACGTGATCATGTTATCAAAATTGTAAGAGTCCCCATGTGGGTAACCCATTTGGACAAAGAAGAAAGAGCAGTTGACTGTGCTAAAACAAAAACTGAATGATAGGTGAGGTTATTAAGGCACATGTAAAAATGCCAGTGCAAACAAGTGGGATCAACAGTGGCAAAATGAACAGAGGCAAAGAATAAAAATTTAGCAAACAGAACAAAGACCAAGAATTAATAAAACAAGTTAACTATGACTGGACAAGGCAAAAGCAAATAACAAGATACATACACAGCCAGGGTAGCAAACAAGATACAATAATAATAAGGTACAGGTCAGGCAAGACCAAAGCATAGAGTCAAACATTCCAGGTAGGTACACAAAATGGCCACTACCCCAGTCTATAACTGGCCTTCACAGAAAGGTGCACATGGAAGGGCAACACATGTCAAACAACAAAAAAGGAAAGATTCCTAGCTCTAACTTGCCAGCCAGCCTGCAAACAAACCAAATTAAACTGCTGGGGTGTCTGATTGGCAGGGAGGCAAAATCTTAGCCAGCTTTACTGGCAAAAAAGCAATCGCACAGAGACACATACGTGGAAACATAATGAACTGCTAGTGTTGTCATTACTGGATAGTCTATACTAGTTGTACTAAAAAATACATTAATGAATGCAAAGTCACAATCATTTTTTGCATGTTAAATCTGTCTGAAGTTCAGCTTTAAATAGTTGTGCACCTTTAAATGTATAGAATAACAAGCAATTATAGAGTATATATCTCATAAAGCACCAGCAAAAAAAATCTGATAATAAGAAGTGTACGTTTATATTTTATAGAAATATATTATAGCAGTCAATTTACTAAATGATTGTTATAAAGAAAAATTAAATTAACAAAACTGTAAGTCCAGAGTCAAAGAGTTTTAGAGAGCCCTAATATGTACAGACACAGGCATGTACATAAGCTGTAAGTGTGTAAAAATGTATGAAAATGATCATGCACACCTCAATAACTAAATGATTTCACTATGCAGAGACACCAGAGAAGAAACTAGAAAAGATATCTTTGGAACCCAAAAAAGGTAATTCACACATAGTAGTTGTAAGCTGTGAAGGTGAATGTGGTAATACTGTAAGTGGGAAAGGTGCATAAAGATACTTTGAACTCTATTTTACTTTATTTACAGACTTAAGGACTAGGCTTTTTCTGGCACTTTTTGTTCAAATGTAACAATCAGGGGTTCTTTTGCTAGAAAATTACTTAGAACCCCCAAGCATTATATATTTTTTAAAGATAAGGCCCTAGAGAATAAATTGGTGGGTTTTGCAATTTTTTTTTATTTATATGTTTTAAAATGCAATTTTGTGGAAAATATACACATTTTTTAATTTTAATGCAAAAAAAAAAACCCTCAATACATAACCCTTATTTTTTAGTCAAATATAGAAGATGATGTTACTTTAAGTAAATAGATACCAAACATGTCACACTTTAAAAACGCACACGCCCGGGTAGTGGCAACAAGGACATACATTTTACTATCCATAGGCAACCATTTAAAGGCCTTTACAGGTTACCACTTTAGATTCACAGAGGAGGTGTGGTGCTAGAACTAGTGCACATGATCTGACGTTCACAAGTGTGGAATGCAGTTTGCGCGCTTGCAGGACTGACGCGTGCATTCGCCTTTTCATGTGAGCAGGGGAGGATGGGAGCACTTTTTATTTTTTTTTTTTCAATTATTACTTTTTAATTTTTACAATGTTTCTTTAATTTTTTTTTAATCACTTTTATTGCTGTCACAAGAAATCTAAACATCCTTGGGACAGTAATAGAGATGTGACAGGTACTCTTTATGGATGGATCTGGGGTCTATAAGACACCAAATCCCTCCTCTGTACTTAAAAGCATTCAAAACATCAAGATCTGTGTTTTTGAATGCTTACAAGTTTTTAAAAATGGTGCCATTGACATTCAGGTAAACAGGAAGTGATGACAGGGTTACAATAGCAGACAGCCGATAAAAGCCAATTCCAGCTTTGTTCAGTTCTCTGACCAGCTGGCAGATGCAATGGCTTTTTGCTAGGGTCTTCTGGTGGATCAGGAGATCCTAAGAAAGTATAAGAAAGCTGTGGGGGGGGGGGTTCCCCTCCTGCTGCTGTAATCACAATCAAGCAGCTAGTTAGCTGCTCTGATTGTGATTACAAGAAAGCTAACCAGCAGAGAGCAGCTGCAGGCATCACCACGGTGCGACCACTTACAGGTACGTGACTGGTCAGCAAGTTGTTATTATACAGAGGCAACAGAGAAAAAAACTAGAAAAAGTATCTGTGGAAGTTCAAAAAGGTGAATCACTAATTAATATGGAAATATAAATATGAAAATGTAGGTTGGTAGGTCAGTAGTAATAATTTGAGTGGGAGATGTGTAGAAAGATGTTTTAAAATATTTCACTCTTCTTTAATATACAGAGATACCAAAGAAAAAACTGGAAAAGGTATCTACAGAACCAAAAAAAAGGTAACAACTCATTCGTATTGTACTGTTAAGGTGTTAAGGTAATTATATAGTAAGTGGGGTAAATGCAGAAAAATATTTTGCCTTATTACACCTTATTTTACACACAGAGTCACCAGAGCAGAAGCTAGAAAAAGTATCTACAGAACCCAAGAAAGGTAAATCGCTCATAATACTTGTAAGTAGTGAAGGTGGTTATAATGTGAGTAGGGTAAATGCAGACATATATTTTGAACTATTACACCTTATTTTACTACACAAAGACACCAGAAAAAAAACTAGATAAGATATCCGTGGAACTCCAAAAAGGTAAATCACATCTAGCACTTGGAATTGTGAAGGTGAATGTAGTAATAATGTGGGGGTGACTGGTGCCAAATAATTTTTCAAATATTATGCCTTATTTTAATATACAGAGACACCAGAGAAGAAACTACAAAAAGTATCTGTGGAAACCAAAAAAGGTAAGTTAAACATTTGTATTGTTTTTGCAATTAATAAAAATGGTATAGTAAATATGGTAAAATAATTGGAGAAAAGAGACTAAAAAAGTAAATGACTCATAGTACTTGACAGTTGAGAAGGCAAAAGTGGTTATATTGTGAGTGGACTAAACTCAGAAATATATTTTGAACTATTACACCTTATTTTACCATACAGAGATGCCAGAGAAGAAACTGGAAAAAGTACCTACAGAACCCAAAAAAGGTAATTACCTATTGGTATTGTATTTGTAAGATTTAAAAGTAGATAAAATGTGAATGATATAAATGCAGATAGATATATTTTTAACTATTACACTTTATTTTACTAAATAGAGAGACTAGAGAAAAAAGTTGAAAAGGTATCTGCAGAACCCAAAAAAGGTAAATCACTCATAGTAATTTTAGGTCTTGAAAGTGGTTATAATGTGAGTGGGGTAAATATATATTTTTTTGTTAACTATTACACCTTTCTTACTATATAGCGAAATCTGTGGAACGTAAAAAAGGTAATTCATTTATACCACCTCTTGTTATGGTAACAATGTGGGTGTGATAGGTGCAAAAAGATAGTAAAAACATTTCAATCATATTTTACACTGCAGAGACAGCAGAAAAATGCTAGACAAGCTTTCTGTGGAACCCAAAAAAAGTAAATCACTTATTTACTTATAGGTCGTGAAGGTTATAATGTGAGTGAAGTAAACACAGAAATATATTTTGAACTATTACACATTATTTTACAATACAGAGACACTGGAGAAACTAGACAAGGTATATTTGAATACGTTAAATTCAGAAAAATGCTTTGAACTGTTACACCTTTTTTTTTTTTTTACCATTCAGAGACACCAGAAAAGAAACCAGAAAAAGTATCTGTGGAATCCAAAAAAGGTAACTCACTCATAGTATTTGAAAGTAATGAATAATGGGAGTGAGGTGATCACAAAAATATATTTTGAGCTATTATTCATTATTTTACTATGCAGAGAAGAAACCAGAAAAGGTATCTGTGGAAACTAAAAAAGGTGATTACTCATTAGTATTGCACTTGCAAATTGTAAAGGTAGTTATAATGTAAAAGAAAGGTAAATGCAGCAATATATTGTTTACTACTAAACCTTATTTTACTGTACAGAAACTCCAGAGAAGAAACCTGAAAAAGTATCTGCGGGACCCAAGAAAGGTAATCACTCATCTGTACTGCTTTTGTAAACTGTAAAGGTTGTTATAATATGAGTGCTACAAATGCAGAGAAATATTTTGAACTATTACATTTTATTTGACTATTCAGAGACACCAGAGAAGAAATTAGAAAAGGTATCTGTGGAACCCAAAAAAGGTAAATCACTTGACCTATAAGTGATGAAAGTGGTTATAATGTGAGTGGAGTACTGTAAATGCAGAAAGATATTTTGAACTCTTAGACCTTATATAACTGTACAGAGACACCAGAGAAGAAATTAGGAAAGGTACTTATAGAACCAAAAAAAAGTAATAATCAGTATTGCATTATTAATATGTAAAGGAAGATATAATGTGAGTAAGGTAAACACTGAGAAATATTTTGAACTATTACACCTTATTTTACTAAACAGAGACTCCAGAGAAGAGACAAGAAAAGGTATTTGTGGAAGGCAAAAAAGGTAATCATTTATAGTATTTGTAAGTCGTGAAGCTGAAGATAGATATAATGTGAGAGAGTTAAATTCAGAAATATATTTTGAACTCCTATACATTATTTTACAATGCAGAGACAGCAGGGAAGAAACCAGAAAAGGTGTCTGTGGAAACCAAAAAAGGTAATCACTCATTAGTATGGCACTTGTAAATTCCAAAGGTGGTTACAGAGTAAGGAAAGTAAATGCAGCAATATATTTTAAAATATTAATCCTTATTCTACTATACAGAGTCTGCAGAGATGAAACCTAAAAAAGTATCTGCAGAACCCAAGAAAGGTAATTAGTCAGCAGTATTGCATTTGTAAACTGCAAACGTTATTATAACATAATTGTGGCAAATGCAGAAGGATATTTTGAAATATTGCAACTTATTTGACTATACAGAGATACCAGAGAAGAAATTAGAAAAGGTATCTGTGGAACCCAAAAAAGGTAAATTGCCTATATACTTCTAAGTGATAAAGATGGTTATAATGTGAGTGGAGTAAACACAGAAAGATATTTGATCTATTGCACCCTATTTTACTATACAGAGGCACCAGAAAAGAAATTAGAAAAAGTACCTGTAGAACCCAAAAAAGGTAATCACTAATCAGTATTGCATTCTTAATATGTAATGGTAGATAATATATAAGCGAGGCAAACACAAAGAGATATTTTGAACTATTACACCTTGTTTTACTATACAGAGACACCACAGAAAAAACTAGAAAAGGTATCTGTGGAACCCAAAAAAGGTAATCATTCATAATACTTGTAAGTCGTGAAGATGAAGATGATTGTAATGCGAGAGAGCTAAATGCAGAAATATACTTTGAACTATTATACATTATTTTACTATGCAGAGACACCAGAGAAGAAACCTGAAAAGTTATCTGCAGAACCCAAAAAAGGTAAACACTCATTAGTATGCCACTTGTAAATTGCAAAGGTGGTTAGAATGTAAGGGAGGTAAATGCAGCAATATATTTTGAACTGTTAATCTTTATTCTACTATACAGAGACTCCAGAGAAGAAGCCTAAAAAAGTATCTGCAGAACCCAAGCAAGGTAATCACTCATCAGTACTGCATTTGTAAATTGTAAAGGTTTAAATGTTATTATAATATGAGTGCGGCAAATGCTGAATTATATTTTGAACTATTGTATCTTATTTGACTGCTCAGAAATACCAGAGAAAACAAATTTTCTATGAAACCCAAAAAAGATAAAGCGCTTATTTACTTTTAAGCGGTGAAGGAGGTTATAATGTGAGTGGAGTAAACACAGAAAGATATTTTGAACTATTACACCCTATTTTATTATACAGATGCACAAGACAAAAAGAATTAAAAAGTACAGGTAGAACCCAAAAAAGGTCATCATTAATCAGTGTTTCATTATTAATGTGAAAAGGTAGATAAATGTGAGCAAGGTAAACACGGAAAATTATTTTGAACTCTATTACACCCTATTTTACTATGTAGAGACACCAGAGAAAAAATTAGAAAAGGTATCTGTGGAATCCACAAAAGGTAACTACTTATAAGGGGGAGATTTAATAAAAATGGAAAAGTCCAAATCTGGCACTGCTGTGCATGTTAGCCAATCAGCTCCTAACTTGTTCAGTTAGGCTTTGACAATAAAACCTGGAAGCTGATTGGCTTCTATCCGCAGCTGCACCAGATTTTGCACACTCACATTTTAGTAAATAGCCCCCATAGCATTTGTAAGCCATGAAGGTGGGTATAATGTGAGTGGGATAAACACAGAAAGGTATTTTGAGCTATTATACATTATTTTACTATGCAGAGAAGAAACCAGAAAAGGTATCTATGGAAACCAAAAACGGCAATCATTCATTAGTATGGTTTATCATTAGCATTGGTTATAATATAACTTGGAAAAGTTGTTATGTAAGGGAGGTAAATGTAGCAATATGTTCTGAACTATTAATCTTTATTCTACTATACAGAGACTCCAGAGAAGAAGCCTGAAAAGGTATCTGCAGAACCCAAGAAAGGTAATCACTCATCAGTACTACATTTGTAAATTGTAAAGGTTTAAAGGTTATCATAATATGACTGCGGCAAATGCAGAATTATATTTTGAACTATTGCATCTAATTTGACTACTCAGAAATACCAGAGAAGACATTAGAAAAGTTTTCTATGGAACCCAAAAAAATAAATCGCTTATTTACTTTTAAGTGATAAAGGAGGTTATAATGTGAGCGGAGTAAACACAGAAATATATTTTGAACTATTACACCATATTTTACTATACAGAGGCACTAGAGAAAAAAAATAAAAAAGTACCTGTAGAACCCAAAATAGGTAATCACTACTCAATGTTTCATTGTTAATGTTAAAAGATAGATAAATGTGAGCAAGGTAAACACAAAAAGATATTTTGAACTATTTTACTATGTAGAGACACCAGACAAAAAAATAGAAAAGTTATCGGTGGAACCCACAAAAGGTAACGACTGAAGGGAGAGATTTACTAAAACTGGAGCACTCGCAATCTGGCGCAGCTGTGCATGTTAGCCAATCATCTAACTTGTTCAGTTAGGGTTTGACAATAAAACCTAGAAGCTGATTGGCTTCTGTGCGCAGATGTACCAGATTTTGCACACTCACATTTTTGTAAATAGCCCCCAGAGTATTTGTAAGTCATGAAGGTGGTTATAATGTGAGTGGCATAAACACAGAAAGATATTTTGAGCTATTATACATTATTTTAATATGCAGAGAAGAAACCAGAAAAGGTATCTGTGGAAACCAAAAAAGGTGATCATTCATTAGTATGGTTATAATGTAACTTGGAAAAGTGGTTATATTGTAAGGGAGGTAAATGCAGCAATCTATTTTGAACTATAAATCTTTATTCTGCTATGCAGAGACTCCAGAGAAGAAACCTGAAAAAGTATCTGCAGAACCCAAGAAAGGTAATCACTCATTAGTACTACATTTGTAAATTGTAAAGGTTTAAACGTTATTATAATGTGAGTGCGGCAAATGCTGAATTATATTTTTAACTATTGCATCTTATTTGACTACTCAGAGATATCAGAAAAGACATTAGAAAAGTTTTCTATGAAACCCAATAAAGATAAAGATCGCTTATTTACTGATAAGTCAGGGCTTGAAAAAGCCGCTCGCCTGCTCGCCAAATGCGAGGGGAATCCTTGTGTGGCGAGCACAGATGGAGAGGCTCCCCCTGCTCTCCAAGCCTCATTGTGAAGCCGAGTTCTGGTTTCCAACTTCTGGCTTCTTCTTCGGCACTGCCATTACAATGGCAGTGCCGCTGAGGGGACAGGTGCAGGAGAGGTCAGCTCTCCTCCCCTGAGAGGATCCATTATGAGAATAGGAGATTAACGGGGGCAATAGTAATATTAAGCTTATATAAAAGATACAAATGTCCCTTGGAAAAAAAAGAAGCAAATTAGAGTCAGTCCCTTCAAAGGTGCATTCAGTAAATTAATAAAAGCTGAAATAGAAAGATAAAAACAAATACATATTAATGCAGCTCTGTATTGATTAATTCATCCTTCAATGTATTTTTCTTTTTACATGCAAGCACAGTATGTACCTATATTTAACCTGGTATTAGCCCCTGTACAGCAGAGTCCAGACTGGGGAGAGGGAGAAGCAGCACAAGAAGCCAATCACTTGTGCTGCAGTGCTGATATATCGTGTACATCAGGAGGATGCGGCTCTCCCTGTGTAATAATTGGGCTCTGTGCTCTGTATATCAGGAGAATGTGGCTCTCCCTGTGTAATCATTAAATCATCATCAATGAAAAATACAAAATGTTTACTACAGGTTTAAAGCTGTAAAACTTGATATTTTGATTGCACCCTATTGCTATTAAGCTATTGCTGTTATGTTTAAATTGACATAATAAAGCTATGTTATAATTGCAGTTTTTTATATTTTGGACTCTTTATTCTAAAGAAAAATGTAATTTCATAAGCTTTAAGGGGCGTGGCTGGGGGAAGGGGTAGGGTTGGGGGACAGGATGGGGGTGGGGTTGGAGGCGGACCCGGGCAAGGTTGGGCGGGGCAACTGGAGGAGGGTAAGGTTTGTGCCTGGCTAGTAGGTCTAGACTTGAAATTTTAAGCCCTGTTTTAAGTGATAAAGGTGGTTATAATGTGATAGGAGTAAACAAAGAAAGATATTTTGAACTATTACACCCTATTTTACTATACAGAGGCACTAGAGAAAAAAAATTAAAAAGTACCTGTAGAACCCAAAAAGGTTATCATTAATCAGTGCTTCATTGTTAATGTGAAAATATAGATAAATGTGAGCAAGGTAAACACAGAAAGGTATTTTTGAACTATTATACCGTATTTTACTATGTAGAGACACCAGAGAAAAAATTAGAAAAAGTATCTGTGGAACCCACAAAAGGTAATGATTCATAAAGGGAAAGATTTACTAAAACTGGAGCACTCACACTCTGGCACAGCTATGCATGTTAGCTAAACAGTTCCTTGTTCAGTTAGGGTTTGACAATAGAACCTAGAAGCTGATTGGCTTCTATGTGCAGCTGTACCAGATTTTGCACACTCACATTTCAGTAAATAGCCCCCATAGTATTTGTAAGCCATGAAGGTGGTTATAATGTGAGTGGGATAAACACAGAAAGATATTTTGAGCTTTTATACATTATGTTACTATGCAGAGAAGAAACCAGAAAAGGTATCTATGGAAACCAAAAAGGTGATCATTCATTAGTATGGTTATAATGTAACTTGGAAAAGTGGTTATATTGTAAGGGAAGTAAATGCAGCAATATATTTTGCACTATAAATCTTTATTCTACTACACAGAGACTCCAGAGAAGAAACCTGAAAAAGTATCTGCAGAACCCAAGAAAGGTAATCACTCATTAGTACTACATTTGTAATTTGTAAAGGTTTAAACGTTATTATAATATGAGTGCGGCAAATGCAGACTTCTATTTTGAACTACTGCATCTTATTTGACTACTCAGAGATACCAGAAAAGACATTAGAAAAGTTTTCTATGGAACCCAAAAAGATAAATCGCTTATTTACTTTTAAGTGATGAAGGAGGTTATAATGTGAGAGGAGTAAACAAAGAAAGATATTTTGAACTATTACACCCTATTTTATTATGTAGAGACACCAGAGAAAAAACTAGAAAAGTTATCTGTGGAACCCACAAAAGGTAACCACTCATAAAGGGGATATTTACTAAAACTGGAGCACTCCAAATCTAGCACAGCTGTGCATGTTAGCCAATCATCTCTTAATTTGTTCAGTTAGGGTTTGACTATAAAACCTGAAAGCCAATTGGCTTCTATGAGCAGCTGCACAAGATTTTGTACGCTTACATTTTAGTAAATAGCCCCCATAGTATTTGTAAACCATGAAGGTGGTTATAATGTGAGTGAGATAAACACAGAAAGGTATTTTGAGCTATTATACAATATTTTACTATGAACAGAAGAAACCAGAAAAGGTATCTGTGGAAACCAAAAAAGGTGATCGTTCATTAGTATGGTTATAATTTAACTTGGAAAAGTGGTTATATTGTAAGGGAGGTAAATGCAGCAATATATTTTAAACTATACATCTTTATTCTACTATACAGAGACTCCAGAGAAGAAACCTGAAAAAATATCTGCAGAACCCAAGAAAGGTAATCACTCATTAGTACTACATTTGTAAACTGTAAAGGTTTTTATAATATGAGTGCTGCAAATGCAGAAAGATGTTTTGAACTATTACAGCCTATTTGACTATTCAGAGATACCAGAGAAGAAATTAGAAAAGATATCTGTGTAATTCAAAAAGGTGGTTATAATGTGATTGGGGTAAACGCAGAAAAATATTTTGAACTATTACACCCTATTTTACTATACAGAGACACCACAGAAGAAACCAGAAAAAGTGCCTGTAGAACCCCTAAAAGGTAATCACTAATCAGTATTGCATTTTTAATATGTAAAAGTGGATATAATGTAAACAAGGTAAACACAGAAATATATTTTGAACTATTGCACCTTATTTTACTATACAGAGAAGAAAATAGAAAAGAAATCCGTGGAACCCAAAAAAGGTAATCATTCATTAGTATGGCACTATTAAATTGAAAAAGTGGTTATAATGTAAGGAAGGTACATGTACTAATATATTTTGAACTATTAATCTTTATTCTACTATACAGAAACTCCAGAGAAGAAACCTGAAAAAGTATCTGCAGAACCCAAGAAAGGTAATCACTTATCAGTACTGCATTTGTAAACTGTAAAGGCAATTATAATATGAGTGTGGTACATTTAGAAAGATATTTAAAACTATTACATTTTATTTGACTATTCAGAGATACCAGAGAAGACTTTAGAAAAGGTATCTGTGGAACCCAAAAAAGGTAGTCACGTATTTACTTTTAAGTGATGAAGGTGTTTTTAATGTGAGTAGAGTAAATGCAGAAAAATATTTTGAACTATTACACCTTATTTTACTATACAGAGACACCCGAGAAGAAATTAGAAAAAAGTACCTGTAGAACCCAAAAAAGGTAATCACTGATCAATGTTGCATTATTAATATGTAAAGATAGATATAATGTGAGCAAGGTAAAGAAAGAAAGAAATAAAGAAACGTTTTAACTATTACACATAATTTTACTATGCAGAGACACCAGAGAAGAAACTAGAAAAGGTATCCGCGGAACACAAAAAAGGTAATCAATCATAGTACTTGCAAGTTCTGAAGATAAAGATGGTATTAATGTGAGAGAGGTAAAGGCAGAATTATATTCTACATGTATACAATATTATATATTATTTTACTATATAGAGACACCAGAGACGAAACCAGAAAAGGTATCTTTGGAACCCAAAAAAGGTAAATCACTTGCAGTATTTGTAAGTCATGAAGGTGGTTATAACGTGAGTGAAATAAACACAGAAATATATTTTCAGCTATTATACATTATTTTAGTATGCATAGATACCACAGAAAAAAAACAGAAAAAGTATCTGTGTAAAACAAAAATGTAATCACTTATTGATATTGCACTTGTATATTGCAAAGGTTGTTATAGCGTAAGGGAAGTAAATGCAGCAACATGTAGTGTTTTATTAATCCTCATTTTACTATACAGAGACTCCAGAGAAGAAACCTAAAAAAGTATCTGCAGAACCCAAGAAAGGTAATCATTCATCAGTGTTGCATTTGCAAAGTGTAAAGGTTTAAAGGTTAGTGCTGTAAACACAGAAAGATGTTTTGAACTAATACATTTTATTTGACTTTTCAGAGATACCAGAGAAGAAATTAGAAAAGGTATCTGTGGAACCCAAAAAAGGTAAATCATTCATAGTAATTGCAAGTCAGAAGGTGGCTATAAGGTGAGTAAGGTAAACTCAGAAAGATACTTTCAGCTATTATATATTATTTTAATATGCAGATACACCAGGGAAGAAGCCAGAAAAACTATCTCTGGAAGCCAAGAAAGGTATTCACTCATTAGTATGGCACTTGTAAATTGCAAAGGGGGTTATACAATAAAGGAGGTAAATGTGGCAAGATATTTTGAACTATTAATCTTTATTTTACTACAGAGACTCCAGAGAAGAAACCTGAAAAAGTATCTGCCGAGCCCAGGAAAGGTAATCACTCATCAATGCTATATGTATAAACTGTGAGGTGAAAGTAGATAGATATTTTGAACTATTCCATCTTATTTGACTATTCAGAAATACCAGAGAAGAAATTAGAAAAGGTATCTGTGGAACCCAAAAAAGGTAAATCATTCATAGAACTCATAAGTCATGAAGGTGGCTATAATATGAGTGAGGTAAATGCAGAATATATTTTTGAACTACTACACCTTAACCACTTGCTAACTGCGCTATAGCCCAATGATGGCTACAGTGCAGTTGTCCAGTTTTGGGAGGGCGTCATATGACCTCCTCCTAGAACGCGCCCCTCCAGCGCACCCCCAGTGGCGCACACCTGGTGATCTCTGTGATCACTGTGTCCTATGGACACAGCTGATCACTTGATGAGGTAAGAGGCCAATCACAACGGCCTTTTACCACATGATCAGCTGTGTCCAATGACACAGCATATCACAGAGTAAATACAGTTTGTGGTTATCAGCTGCACTTTGCTAATGCTGTCACAGCGTGAGGAAAGTACTGCCGATAACCAGCAACTGTCATAGAGCAGATCAGCATTGATCATCAGGGCACTGATGGTCAGTGCCATGCTGATCAGTGCCCAGCAGTTCCACCCACCAGTGCCCAGCAGTTCCACTCACCAGTGCCCAGCAGTGCCTCCCACCAGTGCCCAGAAGTGCTTCCCACCAGTGCCTAGCAGTGCCACACATCAGTGCCCAGCAGTGCCACCACTCAGTGCCATCACTCAGTGCTGCCAGTCAGCACCACCCATCAGTGTCACCCATCAGTGCCGCCTATCAGTGCCCATCATTGCTGCATATCAGTGGAGCATCATCAGTGCCTCCTCATCAATGCCACCAGTGCCACATTATCAGTGCAGCATAGCAGTACCCATCAGTGCTGCCTATCTGTGCCACCTCATCAGTGCCCATCAGTGCCCATAAGTGCTGCCTATCAGTGCCCATCAGTGCTGCGTATCAGAAAAAAAATAAATAAATAACAGAAACAAAGAAACTTTTTTTTTAATTTTTTGGCTTTTTTTTTTATAGTGCAAAATATAAAACATCCAGTGGTGATTAAATAACAAAATAAAGCTCTATTTGTGTGAAAAAAATTATAACAATTTTATATGTGTGTAATATTGCATGACCACGCAATTGTCATTCAAAGTATGAGAGCACTGAAAGCTGAAAATTGGCCTGGGCACAAAGGGGGTAAAAGTGTCCAGTAGACAAGTGATTAAATGGAATCTTCACTCTAGAAAAAAAAAATGTAAAAGTCAGAAGCTACAAATCCTGCAGCTGCTGACTTTTAATAAAAGGACACTTACTTGTCCAGGATCCAGCGCTGTCCTCACCTGGGCTAGCTCTTCACTAGCCTTCAGGTTCTGGCAATGCTGCTTTTGTCTTGCCCATTGTGCATGCATGAGATGTGCATATGTGAGCCACACTGCAGTTTGTGAATGGTCCTGCAGTCTTCTGGGATCTCTGATGTGTCCCAGAAGACTGCAGGGATCAGATCACCCAAGCGATTTAAGCTGATGTGGGAGCATGTACTTGTCAAAACTAGATACCCGACTCCTCCCCCAAAAATTATATACCAAACTAGAATAGGGGAGGAGGACTTAAAATGTAACTTCCCCGTTTGGGGGAAGTTCCACTTTAGTTTACTATACAGAGATTGCAGAAAAGAAACCAGAAAAAGTAACCGTGGAACCCAAGAAAGGTATATCATTCAAAATACTTGTATGTGAGTGATGTTACCTGTAGATAACTATTACACATTATTTTACTATGCAGAGACACCAGAGAAAAAAACAGAAAAGGTATCTGCAGAACCGAAGAAAGGTAAATATATCATAATACTTGTAAGTCGTGAAGGTGGCTATATTATGACTAAAGTAAATGGAGAAATATATTTTGAACTATTACTCTCAATCTACTATACAGAGCAACCAGTGAAGAAACTGGAAAAGGTGACTGTGGAACCCAAAAAAGGTAAATTACTCAAAGTACTTGTCAGTCATAAAGTACTTGTCACTCATTAGTATTGCATTTGTAAAACATAAAAGTTGTTATAATATGAGTGGGGTAAACTCAAAAAGATATTTTGTACTATTAAAACTTTTGTTACTATATAGAGTTACCAGAGAAGAAACTAGAAAGGGTGCCTGTGGAACCCAAAAAAGGTAACTTATTCATAATACTAATGTGAGTGCGATAAATGCAGAAATTTATTTTCAACTATCACTATCAGACAATACAATGGCTTAGTGGTTAGCAGTTATCCCTGATAGGTCTAGTGTCATCAGTTCAAACCCCAACCATGACAACACCTGCACTGAGTATGCATGTTCTCCCTTTGCTTCTGTAGGTTTCCTCCAGGTATTATGATTTCCTTTCCCACTCCAAGGGCATACTTGCACATTATTTGTATCCTATCTAAATAAACATAGTATATGAATAGAAGTTAGGAACCTTAGATTGTAAGCTTAACCACTTCCCGTCCTGCCCATGTACATAAATGGCCAGATGAGAACAGTGCAAGAGCGGGTTGCCGTTCATAAACGGCGCCCGCATTTTCAGCCTGTGCGTGCTCCCTGGGAGAGCGCGGAACCGTGATACGATGCCGCTGTGTCCGGAGGACACAGCGGAACACCGATCGCTGTACAGGACCTGTGTGTGAGGTCCCGATCATGTGATCACTGATTGGCAGATAAGTGATCACATGAATAGTAGTAAGTAAGATGTCACTGACATCTTTGCTTACTACGTGTGAAATCTGTAAATGATCACAGAGGTCACATGGTACAAGGCTATTCAGAACAGCCTTGTACCATGTGACCAATCACAGCTCTCACAGTATTTCTCAATGGCTGCAAGAATGCAGCCAGAGAGGAGAAATTATTGCTTTTACAGCCTTTATAGGTATAAAAGCAATCAGTGTAAAAAAAAGAAAAAAAAACCTTCATCATCCCCCACAAGTGGTACAGTGTCACTATGGTGACACTTTACTGCTAGGGTGACAGTATGTTAAAAAAAAATAATAATAATAATATACAAAACTAATATAAAAATAAATTTTGAAAAATGATAATTGTTGGTTATAAACTAATTTGGGTTATTTTTTTCACTAAAAATATAGCTGAATACATTTTGGCCATGATTTATGAAGAAAAATTATTTGCAAAATGTTATCAGAAAACACTGTTTTTCACAATTTTTAAAATTTTCATTTATATAGCAAAAAAAATTAAAATCCCAGTGATGAATAAATACCAGCAAAATAAAGTTTTATCTGTCTCAAAAAAATGCTAAAAAATTGATATGTGTACAGTGTTGCATGACCGCACAATTGTCATTCAAAGTGTGATAGCACTGAAAGCTGATAATTGGCCTGGACAGGAAGGGGGGGTAAAAGTGTCCGGACTTGAAGTGGTTAATAGAGACATGGACTGATGTGGAATATAAATACCTGTAATAAATAAATTACACATTATTTACTATACAGATAAACCTGAGAAGAAATTAGAAAAGGTGGAACCCAAAAAAGGTATATTAGTCATAGTGTTTGTAAGTCATGAAGGTGGTTTCAATGTGAATGAGGTAATCTTAGAAATATATTTTGAACTAATAAACATTATTTTATTATGCAGAGACTCCAGAAATAAAACCTGAAAAAGTATCTGCGGAACCTAAAAAAGGTAATCACTCATCAGTATTGCATTACTAAGTTGTTAAGGTGGTTATAATATAAGAGAGGATAACACAGAAAAATATTTTGAACTATTAAACCATATTTACTTTTAAGTGATAAAAGTGGTTATAATGTGAATGGATTAAATGCAGAAAGATATTTTGAACTATTACACCTTATTTTACTATACAGACGCCAAAAAAGGTAATCACAAATCAGCATTGCATTGCTAGTGTGTAAAGGTGGAAATAATGTCCAAGGTAAACACAGAAATATACTGTGAACTAAATTTTTACTACCTTTTTTTGCTATACAGAGACACTGGAGAAGAAACTAGAAAAGGTATCTGTGGAAGCCAAGAAAGGTAATCCTTCATAGTACTTGTATGTTGTGAAGATGGTTATAAATATGAGAGTGGTAAATGCATAAATATCACTTTTTAATTTACTATACAGAAACACAAGAAAAGAAACCAGAAAAAATATCTGTTGAACCCAAAAAAGGTAACCACTCATAGTATTTGTAAGTCATGAAGGTGGTTATGATGTGAGTGAGGTTAACAAAGAAAGATATATTTTAAGCTGTGAAAATCAAAAAAGGTAATCACTCATTAGTATTGCACCTGTAAATTGCAAACTGGGTTAAAGTGTAAGGGAGAAGGCTTTTATTCAAAACCCATATCCATTGCGAGGGGCACTAGGCAAGGATGCCCGCTGTCCCATTTGATTTTTGCGATTGCGATATAAACCCTCACAATTGCAATCAGATAGCATGCAGATATACATGGGGTCAAGTGTGGGCCTCAAGTTTACAAATGTGCACTATTCGCTGATGATCTCCTCCTCTTTTTAACGTCACCTCTGACCTCGACTTCAGCTGTTGCTATACTCCTACAGGAATTTGGCAAGGTGTCTGGTCTCCTAGTAAACATATCCTCGACTCTGAATATCATTGCCCCCAGAGAGCAGGTAGAATACCTCAAAGCTCATTTCCCATTTATCTGGAGTAACTCAACCATTCCATATTTAGGTGTGCATCTCACCCCTAGCATCGATCAACTATGCAGAGTCAATTTCCCAGCATGTTCAAAAAACTTCAGGATGATCTCCACCTTTGGTCAAAGTATGAACTCACATGGCTTGGTAGGATTAATGCAATAACAATGACACTTTTGTTTCGCTTACTTTATCTCTTTCGTTCCCTACTTATTCCAGTTAGTAGACCCCACTTACTGAAATTCCAAGCCAAGATTATCCATTATATTTGGGGCGACAAGGGACACCGTCTTTCCAAAAAAAGTCCTTTCTCGGGAGGCCTTGGCATCTCAAACCTCTTGTGGTACTATCACTATGCATAACTGAACCAACTTTCCATAGTATATTCCCGCAGCCTAAAACCTGACTGGGTCCACATGGAAAGATTATCTGTCCCTCACCACACCATAGACTTCTTGCTTTGGTGTCCAACTAAGAATAGGCCTTCGATCTTAGCCCCCCACTTTATCTCATTCTATATCCCTATAGAATTTCCTCCGGAAGCACTCCTCTCTAGTCTCCTCCCTCTGCCCTTTGGACCACTTATTCCATAATCCCGCTTTCCTCCTGGTCTGAATATTAAAGCCTTTCAATGGTGGTTGGACAAAGGATTGCATAGAATTGGTCATTTCTTTAATTCCTCTGACCCTCTTTCCCTGTGTTTTTGCCTAAGCTCCCATAAAATGCCCAGGAAAAGTTCAGATTCTTCCAGATTTCTCACTTCTTACACTCGATCTGGAGGGACAAACCAATTCCTCCAAGAATCTGGCCCTATGAAAAATGGTGCTCCCAGATCTCGGAACAGAGAGAGGGTATTTCTATCATTTATAAGTCACTTGCAGAGAACCCTGCCCCAGGATTACAATTTTCTGGAATAAGTTTTTTTTTACCTGATCCGCAAAGTTACAGGCTGTGCTGCACCACAGAACCCACTGTTCACTCAACATGGCGATGGTCTACATCCCCAAAAACAAGCTGACATTAATCTTCTTTATCCTCCTGGGAGCAAAACTGACTAATGCTCATGCTTGGAAACAAACTTTTGTCTCTCTCACAGCCACAAAGCGGAAAATCAGTTGGATTATGCTCCAGGAAAAGACTGATAGTGTTTTAGTTGATAAGGTTAAACTGTTTGAGAGTATTTGGGCATAAGAGGTCAATATCTCCCTCATCACTTAAAGATCCCTCTTAACAAGGGCAATAGATTGTCTTTGAGGACATACCTTCCTGCTGTCTTCCTCCCTTATTCTTTTTTCCACCTCTTCTTCTTTCATGCTTTTGGTGGTCAGGTTGTTCCTTCTGGTTTCATATATACAAAATATCAGCAGCCTAGGGGGATATGTTAGGTACCTGTATCCCTTTGGTCTGATCTCCAACTTATGGGTTGTTACGAAATTCATTTATTAGGTCCTAGACTGTGTATATATTTTATTTCACTCATTCTCCTTTTTCTCTGTCAAATGCATACTTCATGGTTTGGTTCCTAAACGATCCCTCCTGACTGACTTCTTTATTGATAACTCTATACCAGGGAAAGCATTGTTTTTCTACCTGCTAACTTGTCACTACTGGTTCTGTGTATATTGTTTATTAGAGAGTTACATGATATTAGTTCTCATTTTCTATGTTAAAAAATGAATAACATTTTGTGAAAGAAAGTGTACAGGAAGTAAATGCAGCAAGATATTTTGAAATATGAAACCTTATTTTAATATACAGAGACTCCAGATAAGAAACTTGAAAAAGTGTTTGCAGAACCCAAGAAAGGTAATCACTCATCAGTACTGCATGTTTAACCTTTAAAGTTTATTATAATATGAGTGCAGCGAATGCAAAAAGATATTTTGAACTATTATATCTTATTTGACTATTCAGAGATACCAGAGAAGAAACTAGAAAAGGTATCTGTGGAAACCAAAAAAGGTAAATCATTAGTATTTCTCCTGTAAGTTTTGAAGGTGGATATAACATAAGGAAGGTTAACACAGAAAGTTATTTTAAACTATTACACCCTATGTTACTATACAGAGGCACCAGAGAAGAAATCAGAAAAAGTACCTGTAGAACCCAAAAAAGGTAATCACTAATCACTATTGCATTATTAATGTGTAATGGTACATTTAATGTAAGCAAGGCAAACACAAAGAGATTTTTAGAACTATAACAACTTATTTTACTATACAGAGACACCAGAGAAGAAACTAGAAAAGGTGTCTGTGGAACCAAAAAAAGGTAACTTTTCATAGTACTTAAAAGTCGTGAAGATGAAGATGGTTATAATGTGAGAGGTAAATGTAGAAATATACTTTGAACTATTATACATTTTTTTTACAATGCAGAGATGCTAGAGAAGAAACCTGAAAGGGCATCTGCAGAACCCAAAAAAGGTAACCGCTCATTATTATGGCACTTGTAAATTGCAAAGGTGTAAGAATCTAAGAAAGGTAAATGTAGCAATATATTTTGCACTATTAATACTTATTCTACTATACAGAGACTCCAGAGAAGAAACCAGAAAGACTATCTGCAGAACCCAAAAAAGGTAATCACTTATCAGTATTTGTAAGTCATGAAGGTGAAGATAGAAATAATGTGGGTGGGGTAAATTTGAAAGCTATTTTGAACTATTGCAAATTATTTTACTATGTAGAAACAACAGAGAAGAAACCAGAAAAAGTATCTGTGGAAATCAGAAAAGGTAAATCACTCATTGCATTTGTAAGTCATGATGGTAGTTACAATGTAAGTGAGCTAACAGCAGAAAGGTTTCTATTGAACTATTACATCATATTTTACAATGCCGAGACACCAAAGAAAAAATAGGAAAAAATTCTGCAGAACCCAAAAAAAGGTAATCCCTCACCAGTATTGCATTTTTAAGTTATGAAAGTCATTATTTTTGAGAAAGCAATTAGAGAAGAAATTAGAAATGGTGTCTCTGGAACCCACAAAAGTCACCCACTCATGGTACTTGTACGTTGGGAAGGTGGTTATAATGTGAATAGATATTTTGAATTATTGCACCTTATTTTACTATACAAAGACACCAGACAAGAAACCAGAAAAAGTACCTGCAAAACCCCAAAAAGGTAATCACTCATTAGTATTGCACTGATAACGTTTAAAAGGTGTTATAATGTACAGTAAGTGAGATAAACATAGAGCCCAAAAAAGCGATTCCATTACTATGTGTACTTGTATTTGTACTTGTACATCGTGAAGGTAGTTATAGTGTGAGTGGAGAAAATGCAGAAAGATATTTTGAACTGTTGCATCTTATTTTGCTATGCAGAGACACCAGAGAAGAAACCAGAAAAGGTACTTGTAGAAACAAAAAAAGGTAAATCAGTCAATTAGTATTGCATTTGTAAGTCATGAAGGTATTCACAATGGAAGAAGGCAAATGCAGCAAGATTTTTTGATCTACATACCTTATTTTATATTACAGAAACAAAAGAAAAGAAACTGGAAAAAGTGTCTGCAGAACCCAAAAAAGGTAATCACTCATCAGCATTGCATTTGTAAGGTATAAAATAAGTATTTGTGAGTAAAAGTGGAGAAGAAACTAGAAAAGGTATCTATGGAGCACAAAAAATGTAAATAATACTTGCAGATTAGGAAGGTGGTTATAATGTGAGGGAAGTAAAGACAGAAAGATAATTTGAACTATTGCACCTTATTTTACTATATAGAGGCACCAGAGAAGAAACTGGAAAAAGTATCTGCGGAACCCAAAAAAGGTAATCATTCATCAGTATTGTATCAGTAAGTTGTTAAGGTAATCACTCATCAGTTTTGTATTTGTAAGGTATAAAAAATTATTTGTGAATAAACACAGAGAAAAAACTAGAAAAGGTATCTGTGGAAATCAAAAAATGTAAATCACTTATTTAGTTTTAATTAATAAAGGTGGTTTTAATGTGAGGGAAGTAAACACAGAAATATATTTTGAACTATTGCCTCTTATTTTACTATACAGAGGCACCAGAGAAGAAACTGGAAAAAATATCTGTGGAACCCAAAAAAGGTAATCACTCATCAGTATCCCATTTGTAAAATGTAAAGGTGGTTATAATATGAGTGGGATAAATGCTGAAAGATGGTTTTTAACTACTGCATCTTATTTGATTATTCAGAGATATCAGAGAAGAAATTAGAAAAGGTATCTGCGGAACCCAAAAAAGGTAAATCACTTATTTGCTTTTAAGTAAAGAAGATGGTGTTAATTTCAATGGAATAAACGTAGAAAGATATTTAGAAATATTACACCTTATTTTACTATACAGAGGCACCTGAAAAGAAATTAGAAAAGGTTTCTGTGGTACTCAAAAAAGGTAATCACTCACCAGCATTGCATTGTAAGTTATAAAGGATATTTTTTGAGTAAACAGAGAAGAAATTAGAAATGGTGTCTGTGAAAACCAAAAAAAGTCACTCACTTGTAGTACTTGTAAGTTGGGAAGGTGGTTGCAATGTTAATAGAAAAAATATTTTGAATTATTGCACCTTATTTTACTATACAAAGACATCAGAGGAGCAACTTTGGGTACCTGCACAACCCAAAAAGGTAATCACTCATTAGTATTGCATTGATAATTAATGTATAAAAGGTGTTATAATGTAAGTGAGGTAAACACAGACCCCAAAAAGCTAAACAATTTCTATGTGTACTTGTATTTGTACTTATACGTCATGAAGGTGAAGGTGGTTATAATGTGAGTGAAGCAAATGCAGAAATATATTTTGAACTGTTACATCTTATTTTTCTATGCAGAGACACCAGAGAAGAAACCAGAAAAGGTATTAGTGGAAACAAAAAAAGGTAAATCACTCTTTAGTATTGCATTTGTAAGTCATGAAGGTACTTACAGTGTAAGGATGTAAGGAAGGTAAATGCAGAAAGATTTTTTGATCTATGTACCTTACTTTACTCTACAGAGAAACCAGAAAAGAAACTGGAAAAAGTTTCTGCAGAACCCAAAAAAGGTAAACACTGATCGCTATTGCATTTGTAAGGTATAATATAATTATTTGTGAGTAAATACGGAAAAGAAGCTAGAAAAGGTATCTGTTGAACCTAAAAAATGTAAATCACTCTTAATACTTGTAGGTTGGGAAGGTGGTTAAGTAAAAACAGAAAAGATATTTATCTATTGCACCTTATTTTACTGTATAGAGGCACTAGAGAAGAAACTGGAAAAAGTATCTGCAGAACCCAAAAAAGGTAATCACTCATCAGTATTGCATTAATAAGTTGTTAAGGTGGTTGTAATCTAAGAAAAGTTAACACAGAATATTATTTTGAGCTATTAACCTTATTTTACTATGCAGAGACTCCAGAGAAGAAACCTGAAAAAGTACATGCAGAACCCGTAAAAGGTAATCACTCTTCAGTTTTGTATTTGTAAGGTATAAAACATTATTTGAGAGTAAACACAGAGAAGAAACTAGAAAAGGTATATGTGGAACCCAAAATGTTAAATATCTCTTAATACTTGTAGGTGATTATAATGTGAGGGAAGTAAACACAGAAAGATATTTTAAACTACTGCCCCTTATTTTACTATATAGAGGCACCAGAGAAGAAACTTGAAAAAATATCTGCGGAACCCAAAAAAGGTAATCACTCATCAGTATTCCATATGTAAAATGTAAAGATGGTTATAATATGAGTGAGGTAAATGCAGAAAAATGGTTTTTATATGTCAAGAATTTTATTCAAGTTTTGAAACAGAACAAAAGTATAAATATTAAACAGTTAGACCTTGACATTAATAATATAATTTGTGTCAAGTGGGACATATGCCCCTGCATGAGATATAAGTTAGTATTACCACAACAACATAGGGGAGTATAAGCAAAGAATAAGGTTTGTCACAAATATGTATTCCCTCCTTATTTCTACCAGAGTCGTGACAGATCTAGTTGAGCATAGTGCTTACATAGCAGGGGGCTCTTAGGCCATGTGGCTTAAGCATTAGGAGTGGGTGTCAGCAAGGTGTAGAGACTTGGAAAGAAGTCTCATTTTAGAGGAGGGAGGCCTAGAGGGAAATATTAAAGAATGGTTACCCCTATGGGTCTTAAGTGCAGCCAGGTATTGTCTCATGAATCATATTCTAGGTGTGTAATGCTGTAGGGGGTAGTTGAGGAAATACTCCATGTTCTATATTTCAAAAAAATTTGAGTCAATCTCTTGCCAAGGTAAGATTGAAGTCAGTTATTCTCAGAAAGCTAACAGGGAATGGGGGAAAGAAGAAGAGAGAGAAAAAAAAAACAATGGGGAAAAAAAGGGAGGGGGAAGTGGAGTTGGAGTCAGGGAGGGTGAGAGGCGGTGGAATAGAAGGATAGAAGGTTAGAGGAGGAGAGAGGAGAAGGGAAAGCAGAGGGAGTGTAAAAGTAGAAGACTGCCTCCCCCTCAGTTGTTCTTTTGCTAGAAGATTAGAGTGGGTATGGGTTAGCCTTGTGTTGTGCATAGTCATCAGATTCAATAGAGTGATTCCAACAGGCCCAAGTGGATATATATTGTGTAGGTAAGTCTTTTGCTAGATGGACAAGTTCCTCCATATGCCCAATTTTGTCTACTCGACAGAGCCTGTCAATTACTGTTGGAGGAGTCTTGGAGAGCCAGTGCACTGGAAGGCACATCTTCGCCACACTGGCTAAATGTAAAGCTAGGGACTGATGGTATGCTTTGCAAGATAGTGTAGTGTGGTGGAGGAGGTATTGGGCTGGGGTATAGTCTAGTGTGTAGGTTGTGGTTTGGCTGATGAGTTGGTGAACAGCTTTCCAGTAGGGTTGAATTTTTGGGCAGTACCGCCAGATGTGTAGAAAAGACCCTAAGTCTTCAGTACAACGCCAAGATTTGTGGGTGAAATTTTGTGAAGTCGTAAGGGGGTTTTATATCAATGAGAGAGGATTTTAAATCCATTTTCCTGTGTGGAGACCTTGACCGTACCCTTATGAATATGTACAAAGATGCGCTCCCTTTCCTCTGCAGAAAGGTCTAGTTTGAGTTCCTGTTCCCAGCGTTGACAAGCTTTACTGGGCTTAGGATGATAATCAGGAAATAGAAGCGCATAATTGTCCAATATGAGATGTCTTTAGGGTTCCTTCTTCGCACATAATGCCTCAAAGGGTGTATGTTGTCTGTACCAATCAGAGAGAAGGGTGGGGGAGCTTTAGAAGTGTCTCAGCTGTAGATAGGGCCTGAAAGGAAATGACTGGCCTGCCATACGGGATGCTAGGCCAGTGTGTGTTAGAAAAGCTTTTTTGTCAAAAAAGTGTTCAGCTCGTATGTGCATCTGTGGTCATATATCAGAGAGAAATGTGTCAGACATACCTAGCGGGAAATCTGGGTTTTGTCTGATAGGTGTTAGGGGACCTGGAGAAGAAGAGAGGTTATATTTCTGGCATGCAGCATGGAATATCTGTATAGTTGGTCCAATTAAGAGGTGTATTTTACTGTCTGATGGTATATGGCGAGGTGCAAGCCAGGGGAGTTTGTGTAAAGGAAGTGAAGCTAAGGTATGTTCAAGTTGGACCCAGGCATTAACCGGGGCATGTATGTTCCAATCGACTTCCCTGGTTAAATGGCATGCCCAATGGTAGCACTCTATAGGTAGGCTTATTTGCCTGTCATCATGGGAGTCATCAGCCTGTCGTAGCTCAGTCTGGGACATTTAAAACCCCACAGGAAAGAAGTGCATGCTTGACGGTAGGATGAAAAAAAGGTGTTTGGGAGGTTATTGGGAATTGCCTGCATAAAATACAATACTCTAGATAAAATGTTCATTTTAATAATGGCCACTCTCCCAAACCAAGAAAAGAGCCTCATATTCCATGTCTGAAGGTTGCGCTGGATATTGTTAACGAGAAGTAAACATTTTGTGGCATAGAGGCAACTTTGCAGGAAGTTGGATACCAAGGTACGGTTCCAAATGAAAGGAAAGTTGACTCAACATTGTGTTATAGTTTCCTGTTGCAAGGTCATGTTTAGAGCATATGATTTTGTTAAATTAATCTGCAAGTTTGCTAGAGATTTGAACATAGTAAAATGTTTTATTGGTTGGGAATGGTTCCGAGTGGTTCCGTAAGGATGTGTAGTCCCAGGCTGCTCTGTTGAATGTCTTCTCCGTGTCTAGAGATAGGAAGAAGCCTGGCTGGCATGTTGAGGAAATCCAGTGATGTATATTCAATGCCTTTGTTGTGTTATCCTTGTGCCTCTCTACTTTTTTCAAGATAAATTCATTTAAGAAGTAGGGAGAGTATACAATTGGCCAGGATTTTTGCATACAGTTTAAGGTCAACGTTTAAAGGAGAGATTGGTCTGTAGTTGGAGACTATGGAGGGGTCTTTGCCTGGTTTCAGGAATTACAGTTATGTGAGTGGCAAGTAAGTCCCATGAGGAGGGAGCCTGGAAGAAGAGGGAATTGAAGGCTAGTAGAAAGCTAGACAATAGTGTGTCTGTGAAGGATTTATAGTAGCTCACTGTCAGTCCATCTGGGCCTGGGCTCATCCCAGTTTTTAGTTGTTTAAGAGCAGTAATAAATTAAAGATCTTCCATAGAGAGTGGGCAATCCAGTTGTTTGGCTACATTTGTCATCAAGAGTTTGAGACTGTATCGGCTGAGAAATTCAGAAAACATCTTACGCCTATTTTCATCATTAGCAGGAGGTTCTGGGCAAGAAAGGTTATATAGTTTGAAGTAGTTTTTACTCAAAAGTGTGGTTATAGAGTGTACAGTTGTGGCTGCCTTTTTAGATTGAAGTGCTTTCACCAGGATTTTCCCACATTTGTTCCCATATTCGTAAAATACTTTTTGAGAAAGAATGTAATTGCGAGAAGTTATTCTACCTAATTCATCTTGGAGTTCAGTCCTTGCCTGTATAAGGTCCTGTAGGTCCTTGACAGCTTGTGATCGTTTGAGTTCATTCGAGCAAAGAGATATGCTAGATGAGGTCATTCATTTTGGCCTGTTCTTTCCATCGGTTAGCGGCAATTGACAGAAGTTCCCTCCTTATAACACATTTATGCAATCTGTAATGTGAGAGAGATAGGGTGGTGGTTGGAGAGGAATATAGCATCAATGGTTAAGTTTCTAGTAGTGGGAGGTCTCTCTGATTAAGGAAACAATAGTCAAGCCTTGTATATTGTTGATGGGGGGTTGAAAAGTAGGTGTACTCAATCCTTTTGGGTTCAATGTGTGTCAGTTTTCATGGAGAATCAGTTCCCTCAATTGTGTTTTGATTGCTCATAAGGCTAGGAGAGAGAGGAGGCTCCATTTGACATATCTAATAGAGGATTAAGAGAAAAGTTGAACTCGCCCCAAGGCTAAAATATCATAATGGGTGTGAGAAGCTTTTACAATAGATTGAAAAAAGGAAACTTGGTGAGTGTTAGGTGTGTACACATTTGCTTTTGTGATGGGTCTCCTGTGAATTTCTCCACTCAAAAATAAGTAAAGTCCATTGTCATCTATTATATCATCTATCTGTAGTCAATTATGCAACACACCACATTCCTTGGTGGATCAGATTGCCTTCCTTTAGGTCCTAAGGAACAATGGATGCATTCCATCTCAATTGAGGTTGAAGGGGGTCTGTCAAGAAGGCTATTAAAGATGCTCACTACTGTGGGAAGGAGCTGGTTCAGTTCCATAGATTCAAATAGGCCACAAATCCACAAATTGTGGCATATCCTCCTGTTGCCCAGATCTTCCATATGGTTTCCATATGGTGGAGCAGGTCACGGAGCTGGAGAATGTGCATGTCTACTGCTTGGTTCACTCACCGGATGGTGGCTCCCTGATGTGCAGCAGTTTTTTCTGCTGCCTGTATGCGGTGCAGGTCTGTGATGGTGGATTATAAGGTGTTCTTGATGTCGGCTACTATGTTTTGTTGTTCAGTTAGGCTGGGCTGCTGCTGTGCCGTCATGCCCTCTGCCAAGGTGGGAGTCGTGTGAAGTGAAGGAGTGTTTGTCTCCATTGTCGAGGGAACAGGGGTCTGTCCCCATCCCTGTATAGCGGTCGCCATGTTGTGTGCCAGTGTCCGGAAGATCTCTGGTATACTCTGGCTTTGCTTGCTGCCAGAGTCTCGTGGGGATTGGGATTGCAATTCGATCGCTGCACCCCTTTAGAATTAGCTTCTGTTGGAGCCAAAGTTGATCCTCTAGCAGTGGGAGTTCTAAAGCTAAGCCGCCATCTTCCTCTGAGGTCAAAGCATGCCCCCCAGAGATTCCAGAGATACCAGAGAAAAAATTAGGAAAGGTAATTTTCTTAATACTCTAAATAACTCCTAATACTTGTAGATTTGGAAGGTGGTTGTAATGTGAGGGAAGTAAACACAGAAAGACATCTGAACTATTGCACCTTATTTTACTATATAGAGGCACCAGAGAAGAAACTGGAAAAAATATCTGCGGAACCCAAAAAAGGTAATCACTCATCAGTATTCCATTTGTAAAATGTAAAGGAGCTTATAATAAGAGTGGGGTAAATGCAGAAAGATGGTTTTTAACCATTGTATCTTGTTTGACTATTCAGAGATACCAGAGAAGAAATTAGAAAAGATATTTGTGGAACCCAAAAAAGGTAAATCACTCATTTACTTTTAAGTGATGAAGGTGGTTTTAATATGACTGGAGTAAACATGGAAAAATATTTTGAACTATTACACCTTATTTTACTATACAGAGGCACCCAAAAAGAAAGTAGATAAAGTTCCTGCGGTACTCAAAAAAGGTAATCACTCACCAGTATTGCAAGTTATAAAGTTCATTTTTTTTAGTAAACATAGAGAAGAAATTAGAAATGGTTTCTGTGAAAACCAGAAAAAGTCACTCGCTCATAGTACTTGTAAGTTGGGAAGGTTGTTGCAATGTGAGTGGAATAAATACAAAAAGATATATTTTGAATTATTGCACCTTAGTTTACTATACAAAACATTAGAGTAGAAACTGGAAAAATCACCTGCAAAACCTGAAAAGGTAATCATTCATTAGTATTGCATTGATAATGTGTAAAAGGTGTTATAATGTAAGTGAGGTAAACACAGAGCCCAAAAAGCTAAATAATTTCTATGTGTACTTGTATTTGTACTTATACATCGTGAAGATGGTTATAGTGTGAGTGGAGCAAATGCAGAAAGATATTTTGAACTGTTACACCTCATTTTGCTTTGCAGAGACACCAGAGAAAAAACAGAAAATATATTTCTGGAAACAAAAAAAGTTAAATCACTCATTAGTATTGCATTTGTAAGTCATGAAGGTATTTATAATGTAAAGAAGGCAAATGCAGAAAGAGTTTTTGATCTATGTACCTTATTTTACTCTACAGATATACCAGAAAAGAAACTGGAAAAAGTTTCTACAGAACCCAAAAAAGGTAAACACTTATCACTATTGCATTTGTAAAGTATAACATAATTATTTGTGAGTAAATATGGAGAAGAAAGTAGAAAAGGTATCTGTGGAACCCAAAATTATAAATAACGCCTAATACTTGTACGTTGGGAAGGTGGTTATAATGTGATTAGATATTTTGAATTATTGCACCTTATTTTACTATACAAAGACACTAGAGAAGAAACTAGAAAAAGATAAAAACATAGAGCCCAAAAAAAGCGAATCCATTTCTATGAGTACTTGTATCTGTACTTGTACATCGTAAAGGTGGTTATAGTGTGAGTGGAGCAAATGCAGAAAGATATTTTGAACTGTTACATCTTATTTTGCTATGCAGAGACACCAGAGAAGAAACCAGAAAAGGTACTTGTGGAAACAAAAAAAGGTAAATCACTCAATTAGTATTGCATGTGTAAGTCATGAAGGTATTTACAATGAAAGGAAGGCAAATGCAGAAAGATTTTTTGATCTACATACCTTATTTTATATTACAGAGACACCAGAAAAGAAACTGGAAAAAGTGTCTGCAGAACCCAAAAAAGGTAATCAATTATCGGCATTGCATTTGTAAGGTATAAAATAAGTATTTGTGAGTAAAAGTGGAGAAGAAACTAGAAAAGGTACAAAAATGGAACAATAAAAATTGTAATAACTCTTAATACGTGTTTATTAGGAAGGTTTTAATGTGAGGGAAGTAAATACAGAAAGATAGTTTAAACTACTGCACCTTATTTTACTATATAGAGGCACCAGAGAAGAAACTAGAAAAAGTGTCTGCGGAACCCAAAAAAGGTAATCATTCATCAGTATTGCATCAGTAAGTTGTTAAGATGGTTGTAAGAGAAGTTAACACAGAAAAATATTTTAAGTTACTAATCCTTATTTTGCTATGCAGAGACTCCAGAGAAGAAACCTGAACAAGTACCTGCGGGACCCAAAAAAGGTAATCACTCATCAGTATTGCATTTGTAAGGTATAAAATAATTATTTGGGAGTAAACATAGAGAAGAAACTAGAAAATGTATCTGTGGAAACAAAAAAATGTAAATAGCTATTATTACTTGAAGGTTGGGAAAGTGTTTATAATGTAAGGGAAGTAAACACAGAAAGATATTTGAACTATTGCACCTTAATTTACTATATAGAGGCACCAGAGAAGAAACTGGAAAAATTGTTTGCGGAACCCAAAAAAGGTAATCACTCATCAGTATTCCATTTGTAAAATGTAAAGGTGGTTATAATATGAGTCGAGTAAATGCAGAAAGATGGTTTTTACCTATTGTGTCTTATTTGACTATTCAGAGATACCAGAGAAGAAATTAGAAAAGGTGTCTGTGGAACCCAAAAAAGGTAAACCACTTATTTACTTTTAAGTGATGAAGGTGGTTTTAATGTGAATGGAGTAAATGCAAAAAGATATTTTGAACTATTACGCCTTATTTTACTATACAGAGGCACCTGAAAAGAAATTAGAAAAAGTTTCTGCAGAATCCAAAAAAGGTAACCACTTACCAATATTGCATTCGTAAGTTATAAAGGTCATTATTTTTGAGTAAACATAAAGATGAAATTAGAAATGGTGTGTGTGAAACCCCAAAAGAGTAATTCACTCATAGTACTTGTAAGTTGGGAATTGGTTATAATGTGAGTGGAGTAAATGCAAAAAGATAATTTGCGTTATTGCACCTTACTTTACTATACAAAGTCACCAGAGAAGAAACTAGAAAAGGTACCTGCAAAACCCAAAAAAGGTAATCATTCATTAGCATTGTATTGATAATGTGCAAAAGGTGTTAAAATGTAAGTTAAGTAAACATAGAGCCCAACAAATCTAAAACATTTCTATTTCTATTTGTACTTTTATTTTTACTTGTAAATCTTGAACGTGAAGGTGATTTTAACTACTTGCCCTCCTGAGGATTTACCCCCTTCCTGACCAAGCCATTTTTTTGCGTTACAGCACTGCATTATTTTAACTGGCAATTGCACGGTTATGCAACGCTACACCCAAATAAAATTTACATCCTTTTTTTCCCACAAATTGAGCTTTCTCTCAGTGGTATTTGATTGCCCCTGCCTTTTTTATTTTTTGCGCTATAAAAAAATAAAAGACTGACAATTTTGAGAAACAAACAATATTTTTGACATTTGGCTATTAAACGTCCAATAACAAATTTTTAAAAATCAAATTTCATCATACATTTAGGCCAAAATGTATTCTGCTACATGTCTTTGCTGAAAAAAATCCCAATACGTGTAAGATAATTGGTTTACATGAAAGTAATAGTATTTACAAATGGCGGTATAGATACTGGAAGTTTTAATTTTTTTTACTAATAATGGCGGCGATCAGCGACTTATAGCAGGACTGTGGGACTGCGGGACTGCGGTGGGCATGCTGACACTGGGGGGAACTGACTTTGTTTCACTGACATCCCCAGTGACACCAATACAGTGATCAATGCTAAAAAAAAAAGCACTTACACTGTACTAATGGCACAGGGCAGGAAGGGGCTAACATGAGAGGCGATCGAAGGGTTAACTGTGTGCTGGGAGTGTTTTACTGGGGGGACGGTGTGTGGGTGCTTCACTGTTAGGACACTGCTCTGGATGGATGTGCTTTGCACAGCCATCCAGAGCAGTGTACCCGAACCGACAAGGGGAGAACTGTTAGTAAACAAAGCAACCCTCCTCCCCATCGGATATCCTCGGTAATCACCGAGACCTAGTGATTGACAGCCATGGCCGCAAATAATGGCGCCGTGGGTAGGGCATGCACGGGAAATCCAAAATCACGTATATATTCAGTACATGATTTTGTGCAATCCTGTCACCCTGTAGCAGTATATCTGCTATAGAGTGGTGGGAATGTGGTTAAGGTGAGTGCAGAAGAAAAATATTTTGAACTGTTACACCATATTTTGCTATGCAGAAACACCAGATAAAAAAGTCAGAAAAGGTATTTGTGGAAAAAATAAAAGGTAAATCACTCATTAGTATTGCATTTGTAAGTCATGAAGGTATTTACAATGTAAAAAAGGCAAATGCGGAAAGTTTTTTTGATCTACTGTATGCACCTTATTTTACTCTACAGAGACACCAGAAAAGAAACTGGAAAAAGTTTCTGCAGAACCCAAAAGAGGTACTCACTCATCACAATTGCATTTGTAAGGTATAAAATAGTTATTTGTGAGTAAACACGAAGAGGGAAAGTAGAAAAGGTATCTGTGGAACCCAAAAAATGTAAATAACTCTTAATACTTTTAGGTTAGGAATGTGGTTTTAAAGTGAGGAATGTAAATAAAGAAAGATATTTTGAACTATTACAACTTATTTTACTATATAGAGGCTCCAGAGAAGAAACTGGAAAAAGTATCTGCAGAAACCAAAAAAGGTAATCACTAGAGATGAGCGAATCGAACCAGGCGAAGTGGAATTTGTTTCAAATTTCAGGAAAAATTTGATTAGTGGCGAATCCGAATATTAGCATACTTCGGGTGCGCGAATCGGATTTTTCCCGATCAGCCGGCAAAAGTGTCCCTGCAGAGAGCTCCGCTATTTCTGACAGTTCTCTGACAGTTCCTTCACATGTACAGCGGTTGAAACATTGTATCTATTTGTTTCCATTTAGGGTACAGATGTTTTTATTCGGAAACAGATACAATGTTTCAACCGCTGTAAATGTGAAGGAACTGTCAGAGAACTGTCAGAAATAGCGGAGCTCTCTGCAGATACACTTTTTGCTGTACTGGAATACTTCTTTTCATTCTTCTCATTCTTATTTTCATTCTTCTTTTCATTCTTCTCATTCTTCTTTTCATTCTTCTTCTTCTTTTCATTCTTCTTTTCATTCTTCTCATTCTTCTTTTCTTCTTCATGAAAAGAAGAATGAGAAGAAGAATGAAAAGAAGAATGAAAAGAAGAAGAAAAGAAGAATGAAGAATGAAAAGAAGAATGAAAAGAAGAATGAGAAGAATGAAGAAGAAGAAAAGAAGAATGAGAAGAAGAATGAGAAGAAGAATGAGAAGAAGAATGAAAAGAAGAAGAGAAGAAAAAGAATGAGAAGAAGAATGAAAAGAAGAATGAAAAGAAAAGAAAGAATGAAAAGAAGAATGAGAAGAAGAATGAAAAGAAGAATGAGAAGAAGAATGAGAAGAAGAATGAGAAGAAGAATGAAAAGAAGAATGAGAAGAAGAATGAGAAGAAGAAGAAGAATGAAAAGAAGAATGAAAAGAAGAAGAAGAATGAAAAGAAGAATGAAAAGAAATGAAAAGAAGAAGAATGAAAAGAAGAATGAGAAGAAATGAAAAGAAGAATGAAAAGAAAGAAGAATGAAAATGATAAGAAGAATGAAAAGAAGAAGAAGAAGAATGAGAAGAAGAATGAAAAGAAGAAGAATGAAAAGAAGAAGAAGAAAAGAAGAATGAAAAGAAGAATGAAAAGAAGAATGAAAAGAAGAAGAGAAGAATGAAAAGAAAGAATGAATGAAAAGAAGAAGAAGAATGAAAAGAAGAATGAAAAAAAGAAGAAGAGAAGAAGAATGAAAGAAGAAGAAGAATGAAAAGAAGAAGAAGAAGAAGAAGAATGAAAAGAAGAATGAAAAGAAGAAGAAGAAGAATCTTTTCATTCTTCTCATCATTCTTCTTCTTCTTCTTTTCATTCTTTCTTCTTCTTTTCATTCTTCTTTTCATTCTTCTTCTTCTTCTTTTCATTCTTCTTCTTCTTCTGAGGATGAGGATGAAGAAGAAGAAGAAGAAGAAGAAGAAGTAGGATGAAAATAAGAATTCCAAGCCGGCAAAAAGTGTATCTGCAGAGCTCCTCTATTTCTGACAGTTCTCTGACATTCACATTTACAGCGGTTGAAACATTGTATCTATTTGTTTCCATTTATGGAAACAAATAGATACAATGTTTCAACCGCTGTAAATGTGAATGTCAGAGAACTGTCAGAAATAGCGGAGCTCTGCAGATACACTTAGCGGAGCTCTGCAGATACACTTTTTGCCGGCTTGGAATTCTTCTTATTTTCATCCTACTTCTTCTTCTTCTTCTCCTCATCCTCATCCTCAGAAGAAGAAGAAGAGGATGAGGATGAGGATAAAGAAGAAGAAGAAGAAGAAGTAGGATGAAAATAAGAAGAATTCCAAGCCGGGAAAAAGTGTATCTGTCAGAAATAGAGGAGCTCTGCAGATACACTTTTTGCCGGCTTATGAAAATAAGAAGAATTCCAAGCCGGCATGAAGTGTATCTGCAGAGCTCCGCTAAGTGTATCTGCAGAGCTCCGCTAAGAAATAGTGGAGCTCTGCAGATACACTTTTTGCCGGCTTGGAATTCTCTTTCTTCTCATCCTTCTTCTTCTTCTCATCCTTCTTCTTCTTCTCATCTTTCTCCTTCTTCTCATCCTTCTTCTTCTTCTCATCCTTCTTCTTCTTCTCATCCTTCTCCTTCTTCTCATCCTTCTTCTTCTTCTCATCCTTCTTCTTCTTCTCATCCTTCTTCTTCTTCTCATCCTTCTTCTTCTTCTCATCCTTCTCCTTCTTCTCATCCTTCTTCTTCTTCTCATCCTTCTTCTTCTCATCCTTCTCCTTCTTCTCATCCTTCTTCTCATCCTTCTCCTTCTTCTCATCCTTCATCTCATCCTTCTCCTTCTTCTCATCCTTCTCCTTCTTCTCATCCTTCTCCTTCTTCTCATCCTTCTCCTTCTCCTTCTCCTTCCTCATCTCCAAGGGCATTTAAATTAAAGGTACAGTGTTCTGCACTAATATAAAGGCTCTCTGAAGCCTAGAAACCCTTTTTATAAGTTAAATTCGCAGCGAATAAATTCGCATCGAATCGAATTTCTTCCTCAAATTCGGCGAATCAGCCGAATCGAATTTTTGAATAATTCGCTCATCTCTAGTAATCACTCATCAGTATTGCACTAGTAAGTTATTAAGGTTTTTAAAATATAAGAGTGGCTAACGCAGAAAAACTATTTTGAACTATTAATCTTTATTTTACTATGCAGAGATTCCAGAGAAGAAACCTGAAAAAGTACCCGAGGAACCAAAAAAAGGTAATCACTCATCAGTATTGCATTTGTAATGTATAACATAATTATTTGGGAGTAAACATGGAGAAGAAACTAGAAAAGGTATCTATGGAACACAAAAAATGTAAATAACTCTTAATACTTGAAGGTTGGGAAAGTGTTTATAATGTAAGGGAAGTAAACACAGAAAGATATTTGAACTATTGCACCTTAATTTACTATATAGAGGCACCAGAGAAGAAACTAGAAAAAGTGTCTGCGGAACCCAAAAAAGGTAATCACTCATCAGTATTCCATTTGTAAAATGTATAGGTGGTTATAATATGAGTGGGGTAAATGCAGAAAGATGGTTTTTACCTATTGTGTCTTATTTGACTATTCAGAGATACCAGAGAAGAAATTAGAAAAGGTATCTGCGGAACCAAAAAAAGGTAAAACACTTATTTACTTTTAAGTGATGAAGGTGGTTTTAATGTGAATGGAGTAAATGCAAAAAGATATTTTGAACTATTACACCTTATTTTACTATACAGAGGCACCCGAAAAGAAATTAGAAAAAGTTTCTGCAGAATCCAAAAAAGGTAACTACTTACCAAAATTGTATTCGTAAGTTATAAAGGTCATTATTTTTGAGTAAACATAAAGACGGAATTAGAAATGGTGTGTGTGAAACCCCAAAAGAGTAATTCACTCATAGACTCATAGTACTTGTAAGTTGGGAAAATGGTTATAATGTGAGTGGAGTAAATGCAAAAAGATAATTTGGTTATTGCACCTTACTTTACTATACAAAGTCACCAGAGAAGAAACTAGAAAAAGTACCTGCAAAACCCAAAAAAGGTAATCATTCATTAGCATTGCATTGATAATGTGTAAGAGGTGTTATAATGTAAGTTAAGTAAACATAGAGCCCAAAAAAGCTAAAACATTTCTATTTCTATTTGTACTTTTACTTGTAAATCTTGAACGTGAAGGTGATTTTAACCACTTGTCCTCCTGAGGATTTACCCCCTTCCTGACCAAGCCATTTTTTTTGCGTTACAGCACTGCATTATTTTAACTGACAATTGCACGGTTATGCAACGCTACACCCAAATGAAATTTATGTCCTTTTTTCCACAAATTGAGCTTTCTTTCAGTGGTATTTGATTGCCTCTGCCTTTTTTATTTTTTGCGGTATAAAAAAATAAAAGACTGACAATTTTGAGAAAAAAACAATATTTTTGACATTTGGCTATTAAACGTCCAATAACAAATTTTTAAGGATCAAATGTCATCATAAATTTAGGCCAAAATGTATTCTGCTACATGTCTTTGCTGAAAAAAATCCCAATGCATGTAAGATAATTGGTTTAACTGAAAGTAATAGTATTTACAAATGGCGGAATAGATACTGGAAGTTTTAAATTTTTTTTTACTAATAATGGCGGCGATAAGCGACTTATAGCAGGACTGTGGGACTGCGGGACTGCAGTGGGCATGCTGACACTGGGGGGAACTGACTTGGTGTCACTGACATCCCCAGTGACACCAATACAGTGATAAGTGCTAAATAAAAAAGCACTTACACTGTACTAATGGCACTGGGTAGGAAGGGGCTAACATGAGAGGCGATCAAAGGGTTAACTGTGTGCTGGGAGTGTTTTACTGGGGGACGGTGTGTGGGTGCTTCACTGTTAGGACACCGCTCTTGATGGATGTGCTGTGCACAGCCATCCAGAGCAGTGTACCCAAACCGACAGGGGAAGAACTGTTAGTAAACAAAGCAACCCTCCTCCCCATCGGAGATCCTCTTTAATCACCGAGACCTAGTGATTGACAGCCGCGGCCGGCCGCAAATGGTGCCGCGGGTAGGGCACGCGCGAGAAATGCAAAACCACGTATATACACATGATTTTGTGCAATCCTGTCACCCTGTAGCAGTATATCTGCTATAGGGTGGCGGGAATGTGGTTAAGTTGAGTACAGAAGAAAAATATTTTGAACTGTTACACCATATTTTGCTATGCAGAAACACCAGATAAAAAAATCAGAAAAGGTATTTGTGGAAAAAATTAAAGGTAAATCACTCATTAGTATTGCATTTGTAAGTCATGAAGGTATTTACAATGTAAGGAAGGCAAATGCAGAACGTTTTTTTGATCTACTGTATGCACCTTATTTTACTCTACAGAGACACCAGAAAAGAAACTGGAAAAAGTTTCTTCAGAACCCAAAAGAGGTACTCACTCATCACAATTGCATTTGTAAGGTATAAAATAGTTATTTGTGAGTAAACACGGAGAAGAAAGTAGAAAAGGTATCTGGGGAACCCAAAAAATTTAAATAACTCTTAATACTTTCAGGTTAGGAATGTGGTTTTAAAGTGAGGAATGTAAATAAAGAAAGATATTTTGAACTATTACAACTTATTTTACTATATAGAGGCTCCAGAGAAGAAACTGGAAAAAGTATCTGCAGAACCCAAAAAAGGTAATCACTCATCAGTATTGCATTAGTAAGTTTTTAAAATATAAGAGTGGTTAACGCAGATAAAAAAAAAAACTATTTTGAACTATTAATCTTTATTTTACTATGCAGAGATTCCAGAGAAGAAACCTGAAAAAGTACCTGAGGAACCAAAAAAAGGTAATCACTCATCAGTATTGCATTTGTAATGTATAACATAATTATTTGGGAGTAAACATGGAGAAGAAACTAGAAAAGGTATCTATGGAACACAAAAATGTAAATAACTCTTAATACTTGTTTATTAGGACGGTGATTTTAATGTGAGGGAAGTAAACACAGAAAGATAGTTTAAACTATTGCACCTTATTTTACTATATAGAGGCACCAGAGAAGAAACTAGAAAAAGTGTCTGCGGAACCCAAAAAAGGTAATCATTCATCAGTATTGCGTTAGTAAGTTGTTAAGATGGTTGTAAGAGAAGTTAACACAGAAAAATATTTTAAGTTACTAATCCTTATTTTGCTATGCAGAGACTGCAGAGAAGAAACCTGAAAAAGTACCTGCGGGACCCAAAAAAGGTAATCACTCATCAGTATTGCATTTGTAAGGTACAAAATAATTATTTGGGAGAAAACATAGAGAAGAAACTAGAAAATGTATCTGTGGAAACAAAAAAATGTAAATAACTATTAATACTTGAAGGTTGGGAAAGTGTTTATAATGTAAGGGAAGTAAACACAGAAAGATATTTGAACTATTGCACCTTAATTTACTATATAGAAGCACCAGAGAAGAAACTGGAAAAAGTGTCTGCGGAACCCAAAAAAGGTAATCACTCATCAGTATTCCATTTGTAAAATGTATAGGTGGTTATAATATGAGTGGGGTAAATGCAGAAAGATGGTTTTTTACCTATTGCGTCTTACTTGACTATTCAGAAATACTGGAGAAGAAATTAGAAAAGGTGTCTGTGGAACCCAAAAAAGGTAAACCACTTATTTACTTTTAAGTGATGAAGGAGGTTTTAATGTGAATGGAGTAAATGCAAAAAGATATTTTGAACTATTACGCCTTATTTTACTATACAGAGGCACCTGAAAAGAAATTAGAAAAAGTTTCTGCAGAATCCAAAAAAGGTAATCACTCACCAATATTGCATTCGTAAGTTATAAAGGTCATTATTGTGGAGTAAACATAAAGATGAAATTAGAAATGGTGTGTGTGAAACCCCAAAAGAGTCACTCACTCATAGTACTTGTAAGTTGGGAAGATGGTTATAATGTGAGTAGAGTAAATGCAAAAAGATAATTTGGTTATTGCACCTTACTTTACTATACAAAGTCACCAGAGAAGAAACTAGAAAAGGTACCTGCAAAACCCAAAAAAGGTAATCATTCATTAGTATTGCATTGATAATGTGTAAGAGGTGTTATAATGTAAGTTAAGTAACATAGAGCCCAAAAAAAATAAAACATTTGTATTTCTATTTGTACTTTTATTTTTACTTGTAAATCTTGAACGTGAAGATGATTTTAACCACTTGCCCTTTTGAGGATTTACCCCCCTTCCTGACCAAGCCATTTTTTTGCGTTACAGCACTGCATTATTTTAATTGACAATTGCACGGTTATGCAATGCTACACCCAAATGAAATTTACGTCCTTTTTTTTCCCACAAATTGAGCTTTCTTTCAGTGGTATTTGATTGCCTCTGCCTTTTTTATTTTTTGCACTATAAAAAAATAAAAGACTGACAATTTTAAGAAAAAAACAATATTTTTGACATTTGGCTATTAAACGTCCAATAACAAATTTTTAAAAATCAAATTTCATCATAAATTTAGGCCAAAATGTATTCTGCTACATGTCTTTGCTGAAAAAAATCCCAATGCATGTCAGATAATTGGTTTACATGAAAGTAATAGTATTTACAAATGGCGGTATAGATACTGGAAGTTTAAATTTTTTTTTACTAATAATGGCGGCGATCAGCAACTTATAGCAGGACTGTGGGACTGCGGGACTGCGGTGGGCATGCCGACACTGGGGGGAACTGACTTGGTGTCACTGACATCCCCAGTGACACCAATACAGTGATCAGTGCTAAAAAAAAAGCACTTACACTGTACTAATGGCACTGGGCAGGAAGGGGCTAACATGAGAGGCGATCAAATGGTTAACTGTGTGCTGGGAGTGTTTTACTGGGGGACGGGTGTGTGGGTGCTTCACTGTCAGGACACTGTCAGGTGTACCCGAACCGACAGGGGGAGAACTGTTAGTAAACAAAGCAACCCTCCTCCCCATCGGATATCCTCGGTAATCACCGAGACCTAGTGATTGACAGCCGCGCCCGCAAATGGTGCCGCGGGTAGGGCACGCGCGAGAAATGCAAAATCACGTATATATACATGATTTTGTGCAATCCTGTCACCCTGTAGCAGTATATCTGCTATAGGGTGGCGGGAATGTGGTTAAGTTGAGTACAGAAAAAAAATATTTTGAACTGTTACACCTTATTTTGCTATGCAGAAACACCAGATAAAAAAATCAGAAAAGGTATTTGTGGAAAAAATAAAAGGTAAATCACTCATTAGTATTGCATTTGTAAGTCATGAAGGTATTTACAATGTAAGGAAGGCAAATGCAGAAAGTTTTTTTTTTTGATCTACTGTATGCACCTTATTTTACTCTATAGAGACACCAGAAAAGAAACTGGAAAAAGTTTCTGCAGAACCCAAAACCCTGAAAAACTATTTTGAACTAATAATCTTTATTTTACTATGCAGAGATTCCAGAGAAGAAACCTGAAAAAGTACCTGAGGAACCAAAAAAAGGTAATCACTCATCAGTATTGCATTTGTAATGTATAACATAATTATTTGGGAGTAAACATGGAGAAGAAACTAGAAAAAAGGTATCTATGGAACACACAAAAAATGTAAATAACTCTTAATACTTGTTTATTAGGAAGGTGGTTTTAATGTGATGGAAGTAAACACAGAAAGATAGTTTAAACTACTGCACCTTATTTTACTATATAGAGGCACCAGAGAAGAAACTAGAAAAAGTGTCTGCGGAACCCAAAAAGGTAATCATTCATCAGTATTGCATTAGTAAGTTGTTAAGATGGTTGTAAGAGAAGTTAACACAGAAAAATATTTTAAGTTACTAATTAGAGATGAGCGAATTATTCAAAAATTCGGTTCGGCTGATTCGCCGAATTCGCCGAATAAATTCGCTTCGAGCCGAATATATTCGCTGCGAATTTAACTTATAAAAAAGGGTGTTTCTAGGCTTCAGAGAGCCTTTATATTAGTGCAGAACACTGTACCTTTAATTTAAATGCCCTTGGAGTCTGCTGGGGAAGAGAAATAATACTGTCAGTCAGTATGACATGCAGATGAGTGCCGTCGATCTTAGAATCACCGCACACTTCACTCATTTGGGCAGTCACGGGGCCAAAAACCAGAGTGTGGAGCCACAGTGTGGCAGTGGAGGCAGCAGCAATGGGAGGCCATACAGCACCCTATGACAAAATGGAACCCACCAGCAGTGTGTGAAGAGACCTGAAAGTGGCACATGACAGAGTGTGGCGATGGAGACAGCAGCAATGGGAGCAGTACAGGGACCCATGACACACTCTGGACCTGGCAGCAGCATGAGGAGGCGGTACAGGGGCCCATGACAGATTACGGGCCTGGCAGCAGCATGAGGAGTCGGTACGGGGGCCCATGGCAGATTACGGGCCTGGCAGCAGCATGAGGAGGCGGTACAGGGGGCCCATGGCAGAGTGGCGGAGCGTAAGCAGCTAAAATTGAAGGCCATACAGAGGCCTATGTTAAAAAGTCCCCCCAGCAGCAGCGTGGGGAGACGACTATCAAGAGTCCAATGGCAGAGTGGCGGAGCAGAAGCAGCTTCAATTGAAGGCCCATACACAGGCCTAGGTTTAAAAGTCCCTCACAGTTAATTCCAATAACGAACTCTACTCCTCCGTGCAATCTACTTACGAGACCCTGGGCAGGTCTGGGTCCAATTTGTGGTAGAGACTGGTTTTGTTCAGCCATGCTTGAGCGAGTAATAAACAGGTCTGTGCTGCCCTTTGGTGTCTGGCTTAATTCGCACAACACTGAACGTCCCCAGCGTTTGTCAACGATTTGCCGTTAAGTGATGCAAACCCGCTGAACCACGTTCATGAGGAGCCGGTACAGGGGGCCATGAATCAGTATGGACCTGGCAGCAGCGTGAGCAGACGACAGAGGCACATGGCGCAGGGTGGCGGTGTAGGCAGCATTATTCTGAAGCCATACACAGGCCTAGGTTAAAAAGCGGAAGCCGTCAGCAGCGTGAGCAGATGACAGAGACACATGGCGCAGGGTGGCGGTGGATGCAGCAGTATTCGGAAGCCAAACACAGGCCTCGGTTAAAAAGCGGAGCCGTCAGCAGCGTGAGCAGATGACAGAGGCACATGGCGCAGGGTGGCGGTGGAGGCAGCAGCAATGGAAGGCCATACAGCACCCTATCACAAAATGGAAACCCACCAACAGTGTAAGGAGACCTGAAAGTGGCACATGGCAGAGTCTGGCGATGAAGTCAGCAGCAATGGGAGGCCGTACAGGGACCCATGACACACTCTGGACCTGGCAGCAGCAAGAGGAGGCGGTATGGCAGAGTGGGCGAAGCGTATGCAGCTTAAATTGAAGGCCATACAGAGGCCTATGTTAAAAAGTCCCCCCAGCAGCAGCGTGGGGAGACAACTATCAAGAGTCCATGGCAGAGTGGCGGAGCAGAAGCAGCTTCAATTGAAGGCATACACAGGGGTTAAAAAGTCCCCCCAGCAGCAGCGTGGGGAGACGACTATCAAGAGTCCAATGGCAGAGTGGCGAGCGGAAGCAGCTTCAATTGAAGGCCATACACAGGCCTAGGTTAAAAAGTCCCCCCAGCTGCAGTGTGGGGAGACGACTATCAAGAGTCCAATGGCTGAGTGGCGATCACGGGAAGTCAGCGTTGTGATTGCAGATGCAATGCAGAAATTCTACGAAGTAATGCCGTGGGTATTGCGAATGAAGATCATATACCGTCGTACTTTCCATCCATAAGACGGAACAACCTGCGAACCGGAGCTTTATTGCCCTGACCCGCTGAGCAGCTTCTGGGATACCCAAGAGGCCCATGGCAGAGTGGCGGAGCGTAAGCAGCTTTCAATTAAAGGCCATACAGAGGCCTATGTTAAAAAGTCCCCCAGCAGCAGCAGTTGTGGAGGAGACGACTATCAAGAGTCCAATGGCAGAGTGGCGGAGCGGAAGCAGCTTCAATTGAAGGCCATACACAGGCCTAGGTTAAAAAGTCCCCCCAGCAGCAGTGTGGGGAGACGACTATCAAGAGTCCAATGGCTGAGTGGCGATCCGGGAAGTCAGCGTTGTGATTGCAGATGCAATGCAGAGATTCTATGAGGTGATGCCGTGGGTGCGAAGAAGATCATATACCGTCGTACTTCCATCCATAAGACGGAACAACCTGCGAACCGGGAGCTTTATTGCCCTGACCCGCTGAGCAGCTTCTGGGATACCCAAGAGGCCCATGGCAGAGTGGCGGAGCGTAAGCTCAGCTTCAATTAAAGGCCATACAGACGCCTATGTTAAAAATTCCCCCCAGCAGCAGCGTGGGGAGACGACTATCAAGAGTCCAATGGCAGAGTGGCGGAGCGGAAGCAGCTTCAATTGAAGGCCATACACAGGCCTAGGTTAAAAAGTCCCCCCGAGCAGCAGTGTGGGGAGACGACTATCAAGAGTCCAATGGCTGAGTGGCGATCCGGGAAGTCAGCGTTGTGATTGCAGATGCAATGCAGAGATTCTATGAGGTGATGCCGTGGGTGCGAAGAAGATCATATACCTTCGTACTTCCATCCATAAGACGGAACAACCTGCGAACCGGGAGCTTTATTGCCCTGACCCGCTGAGCAGCTTCTGGGATTACCAAGAGGCCCATGGCAGAGTGGCGGAGCGTAAGCAGCTTAAATTAAAGGCCATACAGAGGCCTATGTTAAAAAGTCCCCCCAGCAGCAGCGTGGGGAGACGACTATCAAGAGTCCAATGGCAGAGTGGCGGAGCGGGGGAAGCAGCTTCAATTGAAGGCCATACACAGGCCTAGGTTAAAAAGTCCCCCCCGCAGCAGTGTGGGGAGACGACTATCAAGAGTCCAATGGCTGAGTGGCAATCCGGGAAGTCAGCGTTGTGATTGCAGATGCAATGCAGAGATTCTATGAGGTGATGCCGTGGGTGTGCGAAGAAGATCATATACCGTCGTACTTCCATCCATAAGACGGAACAACCTGCGAACCGGGAGCTTTATTGCCCTGACCCGCTGAGCAGCTTCTGGGATACCCAAGAGTTTGGCTTCTGTGGGGAATAATGGTTAAAACTTAAAGGCATGTTGACGGAAGGGCACCAGTGTCAGTGCTCCGGAGGGAATATAGCTTCAAAGCTGACACTTAAAGGTATATCGACGGTCAGAGACCACAGGAAAGTGAAAGCTTGCGTCTTTAAATCGACTGAATGTGGCAGACGTGAAACGTCTACGGGCCGTATATGAAACGGGTCTGTTGTTCCTCTTTCTGGAATAAGTGTTGGAAATGGCCACTCTTTTTGGTGTGTGGCGTTTTGTCTATTTAATTCCGATAACGGATCTCTACTCCTCCGTGCAATCTAGTTACGAGACCCTGGCAGGTCTGGGTCCAATTTGTGGTAAGAGGACTGGTTTTGTTCAGCCATGCTTGAGCGAGTAATAACAGGTCTGTGCTTTCCTGTTGGTGTCTGGCTTAATGCGCACAACACTGAACGTCCCAGCATTTGTCAACGATTTGCCGTTAAGTGATGCAAAAACCCGCTGAACCACGTTCATGAGGAGACCGGTACAGGGGGCCATGAATCAGTATGGACTGGCAGCAGTGTGAGGATCCGAAAGTGGCAACATGGCACAGGGTGGCGGTGGAGACTGGCAGCAGTATTTGGAAGACATACACAGGACTAGTTTAAAAAGCGGAAGCCGTCAGCAGCGTGAGCAGACGACAGAGGCACATGGCGCAGGGTGGCGGTGGAGGCATGCAGTATTCGGAAGCCATACACAGTGGCCTAGGTTTAAAACTGGAACCCAGCAGCGTGAGCAGACGACAAATACGCACATGGCAGAGGATGGATCTGGCAGCAGTATGAGAGGCGTACAGGGGCCCGTGGCACAGTGTGGTGATGGGGGCTACAGCAACTGGATGCCAGAAAGTGGCCCGATGGGCTATATACTGCATGGAATTCTTAAAGTGTAAAGACAGCGGCCTATAAGGCTATACTCACATATAACAATCATGACTTGATTGGCCTATAAGGCTATACACAGCATGAATATCATGACTTATTCTGAGAGTGGGTTTGGAAGGCTATATACACAAAAAGTAATTCATGAGCTGTCCGGACAGCGGACAATAAGTACATATAGATACAAATCAATTCATCAGCTGTCCAGCCAGCGGCCTCAAAGGCGACACATATAGAAAGCAATTCATGAGCTGTTCAGAACAGCGGCCTCTAAGGCGACAGATATACAAAGCAATTTTCCGAAGGTGCACTTGCCGTTGGCTGTAAACTGTACGGTTTATGTCACTGGAATGCATCTAATCACCCAAAAAATATTACCGCCAGCCGGCGTGTAAATGGATTTAACTCTTTGAACGTACAATAGTGGTTGTGAAGCAGAAAGTCAGTTTATTGTACACAATCGGTCAATTGCAGCTTGCCGTTGGCTGGAAACTGTACGTTTATGTCATGGAATGCATCTAATCACCCAAAAAATATTACCGCCAGCCGGCGTGTAAATGGATTTAACTCTTTGAACGTTACAATAGTGGTTGTGAAGCAGAAAGTCTCAGTTTAAATTTAGCACAATCGGTCAATTGCAGCTTGCCGTTGGCTGGAAACTGTACGTTATGTCACTGGAATGCACTAATCACCCAAAAAATATTACCGCCAGCCGGCGTGTAAATGGATTTAACTCTTTGAACGTACAATAGTGGTTGTGAAGCAGAAAGTCAGTTTATTGTACACAATCGGTCATTGCAGCTTGCCGTTGGCTGGAAACTGTACGTTTATGTCACTGGAATGCACTAATCACCCCAAAAAATATTACCCGCCAGCCGGCGTGTAAATGGATTTAACTCTTGAACGTACAATAGTGGTTGTGAAGCAGAAAGTCAGTTTATTTAGCACAATCGGTCAATTGCAGCTTGCCGTTGGCTGGAAAACTGTACGTTTTATGTCACTGGAATGCACTAATCACCCCAAAAAATATTACCGCCAGCCGGGCGTGTAAATGGATTTAAAAACTCTTTGAACGTACAATAGTGGTTGTGAAGCAGAAAGTCAGTTTATTGTACACAATCAGTCAATTGCAGCTTGCCGTTGGCTGGAAACTGTACGTTTATGTCACTGGAATGCACTAAATCACCCAAAAAATATTACCGCCAGCCGGCGTTGTAATGGATTTAACTCTTTGAACGTTACAATAGTGGTTGTGAAGCAGAAAGTCAGTTTATTTAGCACAATCAGTCATCAATTGCAGCTTGCCGTTGGCTGGAAACTGTACGTTTATGTCACTGGAATGCACTAATCACCCAAAAAAACTATTACCGCCAGCCGGCGTGTAAATGGATTTAACTCTTTGAACGTACAATAGTGGTTGTGAAGCCGAAAGAAAGTCAGTTTATTTAGCACAATCGGTCAATTGCAGCTTGCCGTTGGCTGGAAACTGTACGTTTATGTCACTGGAATGCACTAATCACCCAAAAAATATTACCGCCACCCGGCGTGTAAATGGATCTAACTCTTTGAACGTTTTTACAATAGTGGTTGTGAAGCAGAAAGTCAGTTTATTTTAGCTCACAATCGGTCAATTGCAGCTTGCCGTTGGCTGGAAACTGTACGTTTATGTCACTGGAATGCACTAATCACCCAAAAAAATATTACCGCCACCCGGCGTGTAAATGGATTTAACTCTTTGAACGTACAATAGTGGTTGTGAAGCAGAAAGTCAGTTTATTTACACAATCGGTCAATTGCAGCTTGCCGTTGGCTGGAAACTGTACGTTTATGTCACTGGAATGCACTAATCACCAAAAAAATTACCGCACCGGCGTGTAAATGGATCTAACTCTTTGAACGTACAATAGTGGTTGTGAAGCAGAAAGTCAGTTTATTGTACACAATCGGTCAATTGCAGCTTGCCGTTGGCTGGAAACTGTACGTTTCTGTCACTGGAATGCACTAATCACCCAAAAAATATTACCGCCAGCCGGCGTGTAATAGATTTAACTCTTTGAACGTACAATAGTGGTTGTGAAGCAGAAAGTCAGTTTATTTAGCACAATCGGTCAATTTTGCAGCTTGCCGTGGCTGGAAACTGTACGTTTGTGTCACTGGAATGCACTAATCACCCAAAAAATATTACCGCCAGCCGGCGTGTAAATGGATTTAACTCTTTGAACGTACAATAGTGGTTGTGAAGCAGAAAGTCAGTTATTTTGCACAATCGGCAAACTGCAGCACCAACTGTGCACGACAGCCACCAAAAAAAAAAAGGGTGTATGTCACTTTAAATTTTCGATTCTTGATAGCTGTGGCCCTAAAGTAACGATTCTGTGTCCCTGAGTAACGATTCTGTGTCCCTGAGTAACGATTCTGTGTCCCCTGGGTAACGATTCTGTGGCCCTAAAGTCTCTGTGGCCCTAACTCTGTCCCTTAATACACACAGGTCTGTCTCTCTTGAATGACCGGAGGCTAATGGGAGAATTCTAAGATGGCCGCGATTTATAGCTCCACCATTACACAGTGCTGGCTGGCTGCTGATTGGCTAATGCGATCACATGTCATGAATGCATTATGGGTCAGCGCGCCTTGTCTGCGCGCCTTCCCAGAGATCCCCGCCCCATCTTCTCTGTCCATTTTCTCCGTCGCCACACATGTCACCGCCATTTTTGGGAAAATTTGATTCGTGCATCCGAAGTTTGCTAATCTTCGGATTCGTCGCGAATAGAATTTTTCCAAATCTTCGGAACGAATTCCACTTCGTCATGTTCGATTCGCTCATCTCTATTACTAATCCTTATTTTGCTATTCAGAGACTGCAGAGAAGAAACCTGAAAAAGTACCTGCGGGACCCAAAAAAGGTAATCACTCATCAGTATTGCATTTGTAAGGTACAAAATAATTATTTGGAGTAAACATAGAGAAGAAACTAGAAAATGTATCTGTGGAAACAAAAAAATGTAAATAACTATTAAAACTTGTAGGTTGGGAAAAGTGTTTATAATGTAAGGGAAGTAAACACAGAAAGATATTTGAACTATTGCACCTTAATTTACTATATAGAGGCACCAGAGAAGAAACTGGAAAAAGTGTCTGCGGAACCCAAAAAAGGTAATCACTCATCAGTATTCCATTTGTAAAATGTAAAGGTGGTTATAATATGAGTCGAGTAAATGCAGAAAGAGGGTTTTTACCTATTGTGTCTTATTTGACTATTCAGAGATACCAGAGAAGAAATTAGAAAAGGTATCTGTGGAACCCAAAAAAGGTAAAACACTTATTTACTTTTAAGTGATGAAGGTGGTTTTAATGTGAATGGAGTAAATGCAAAAAGATATTTTGAACTATTACGCCTTATTTTACTATACAGAGGCACCTGAAAAGAAATTAGAAAAAGTTTCTGCAGAATCCAAAAAAGGTAATCGCTCACCAATATTGCATTCGTAAGTTATAAAGGTCATTATTGTGGAGTAAACATAAAGATGAAATTAGAAATGGGTGTGTGTGAAACCCCAAAAGAGTCACTCACTCATAGTACTTGTAAGTTGGGAAAATGGTTATAATGTGAGTGGAGTAAATGCAAAAAGATAATTTGGTTATTGCACCTTACTTTACTATACAAAGTCACCAGAGAAGAAACTAGAAAAAGTACCTGCAAAACCCAAAAAAGGTAATCATTCATTAGCATTGCATTGATAATGTGTAAGAGGTGTTATAATGTAAGTTAAGTAAACATAGAGCCCAAAAAGCTAAAACATTTCTATTTCTATTTGTACTTTTGTTTTTACTTGTAAATCTTTTAACGTGAAGGTGATTTTAACCACTTGCCCTCCTGAGGATTTACCCCCCTTCCTGACCAAGCCATTTTTTTTGTGTTACGGCACTGCATTATTTTAACTGACAATTGCACGGTTATGCAATGTCACACCCAAATGAAATTTACGTCCTTTTTTTCCCCACAAATTGAGCTTTCTTTTAGTGGTATCTGATTGCCTCTGCCTGTTTTATTTTTTGCTCTATAAAAAAATAAAAGACTGACAATTTTGAGAAAAAAACTATATTTTTGACATTTGTCTATTAAACGTCCAATAACAAATTTTTAAAAATCAAATTTCATCATACATTTAGGCCAAAATGTATTCTGCTACATGTCTTTGCTGAAAAAAATCCCAATGCGTGTAAGATAATTGGTTTACATGAAAGTAATAGTATTTACAAATGGCGGTATAGATACTGGAAGTTTTAATTTTATTTTACTAATAATGGCAGCGATCACATATATATATATATACATGATTTTGTGCAGTCCTGTCACCCTGTAGCAGTATATCTGCTATAGGGTGGCGGGAATGTGGTTAAGGTGAGTACAGAAGAAAAATATTTTGAACTGTTACACCTTATTTTGCAATGCAAAAACACCAGATAAAAAAATCAGAACAGGTATTTGTGGAAAAAATAAAAGGTATGTCACTCATTAGTATTGCATTTGTAAGTCATAAAGGTATTTACAATGTAAAGGAGGCAAATGCAGAACGTTTTTTTGATCTACTGTATGCACCTTATTTTACTCTACAGAGACACCAGAAAAGAAACTGGAAAAAGTTTCTGCAGAACCCAAAAGAGGTAATCACTCATCACAATTGCATTTGTAAGGTATAAAATAGTTATTTGTGAGTAAACACAGAGAGGAAAGTAGAAAAGGTATCTGTGGAACCCAAAAAATGTAAATAACTCTTAATACTTTTAGGTTAGGAATGTGGTTTTAAAGTAAAGAATGTAAATAAAGAAAGATATTTTGAACTATTACAACTTATTTTACTATATAGAGGCTCCAGAGAAGAAACTGGAAAAAGTATCTGCAGAACCCAAAAAAGGTAATCACTCATCAGTATTGCATTAGTAAGTTATTAAGGTTTTTAAAATATAAGAGTGGTTAATGCAGAAAAACTATTTTGAACTATTAATCCTTATTTTACTATGCAGAGATTCCAGAGAAGAAACCTGAAAAAGTACCCGAGGAACCAAAAAAAGGTAATCACTCATCAGTATTGCATTTGTAATGTATAACATAATTATTTGGGAGTAAACATGGAGAAGAAACTAGAAAAGGTATCTATGGAACACAAAAAATTTAAATAACTCTTAATACTTGTTTATTAGGAAGGTGGTTTTAATGTGATGGAAGTAAACACAGAAAGATAGTTTAAACTATTGCACCTTATTTTACTATATAGAGGCACCAGAGAAGAAACCTGAAAAAGTACCTGCGGGACCCAAAAAAGGTAATCACGCATCAGTATTGCATTGTAAGGTATAAAATAATTATTTGGGAGTAAACACAGATAAGAAACTAGATAAGGTATTTGTGGAAACCAGAAAATGTAAATAACTCTTAACTTGTAGGTTGGGAAGGTGGTTGTAATGTGAGGGAAGTAACCACAGAAAGATATTTGAACTATTGCCTCTTGTTTTACTATATAGAGGCACCAGAGAAGAAACTAGAAAAAATATCTGCGGAACCCAAAAAAGGTAATCACTCATCAGTATTCCATTTGTAAAATGTAAAGGTGGTTATAATATGAGTGGGGTAAATGCAGAAAGATGGTTTTTACCTATTGCGTCTTACTTGACTATTCAGAAATACTGGAGAAGAAATTAGAAAAGGTGTCTGTGGAACCCAAAAAAGGTAAACCACTTATTTACTTTTAAGTGATGAAGGAGGTTTTAATGTGAATGGAGTAAATGCAAAAAGATATTTTGAACTATTACGCCTTATTTTACTATACAGAGGCACCTGAAAAGAAATTAGAAAAAGTTTCTGCAGAATCCAAAAAAGGTAATCACTCACCAATATTGCATTCGTAAGTTATAAAGGTCATTATTGTGGAGTAAACATAAAGATGAAATTAGAAATGGTGTGTGTGAAATCCCAAAAGAGTCATTCACTCATAGTACTTGTAAGTTGGGAAGGTGGTTATAATGTGAGTGGAGTAAATGCAAAAAGATAATTTGCGTTACTGCACCTTACTTTACTATACAAAGTCACCAGAGAAGAAACTAGAAAAAGTACCTGCAAAACCCAAAAAAGGTAATCATTCATTAGCATTGCATTGATAATGTGTAAGAGGTGTTATAATGTAAGTTAAGTAAACATAGAGCCCAAAAAAGCTAAAACATTTCTATTTCTATTTGTACTTTTATTTTTACTTGTAAATCTTGAACGTTAAGGTAATTTTAACCACTTGCCCTCCTGAGGATTTACCCCCCTTCCTGACCAAGCCATTTTTTTTGCGTTACAGCACTACATTATTTTAACTGACAATTGCACAGTTATGCAATGCTACACCCAAATGAAATTTACATCCTTTTTTTCCCACAAATTGAGCTTTCTTTCAGTGATATTTGATTGCCTCTGCCTTTTTTATTTTTTGCGCTATAAAAAAAATAAAAGACTAACAATTTTGAGAAAAAAACATTATTGTTGACATTTGGCTATTAAACATGTCCAATAACAAATTTTTAAAAATCAAATTTAATCATAAATTTAGGCCAAAATATATTCTGCTACATGTCTTTGCTGAAAAAAATCCCAGTACGTGTAAGATAATTGGTTTACGTAAAAGTAATAGTATTTACAAATGGCGGTATAGATACTGGAATTTTTTATTTTTTTTACTAATAATGGCGGCGATCAGCGATGTATAGCAGGACTGCGGGACTGCAGCGGACATTCTGACACTGGGGAAAACTGATTTGGTGTCACTGACATCCCAAGTGACACCAATACAGTGATCAGTGCTAAAAAAAAAACATTGAACCATTGCCCCTTATTTTACTATGTAGAGGCACCAGAGAAGAAACTGAAAAAAATATCTGAGGAACCAAAAAAAGGTAATCATTCATCAGTATTGTATCAGTAAGTTGTTAAGGTAATCACTCATTCGTATTCCATTTGTAAAATGTAAAGGTGGTTATAATATGATTGGGGGAAATGCAGAAAGATTTTTGAACTATGGCATCTTATTATATTATTCAGAAATACCAGAGAAGGAATTAGAAAAGATATCTGTGGAACTCAAAAAAGGTAAATCACTTTTATATTTCTAAGCGATGAAGGTGATTATAATGTGAGTGGAGTAAACGTAGAAAGATATTTTGAACTGCTGCACCCTATTTTACTATACAGAGGCACCAAAGAAGAAATTAGAAAAAGTACCTGAAGAACCCAAAAAAGGTAATCATTCATTAGCATTGCATTGATAATGTGTAAGAGGTGTTATAATTAGAGATGAGCGAATTATTCAAAAATTTGATTCGGCTGATTCGCCGAATTTGCGGGAGAGAAATTCGATTCGATGCGAATTTATTCGCTGCGAATTTAACTTATTTAAAGGGTTTCTAGGCTTCAGAGAGCCTTTATATTAGTGCAGAACACTGTACCTTTAATTTAAATGCCCTTGGAGTCTGCTGGGGAAGAGAAATAATACTGTCAGTCAGTATGACATGCAGATGAGTGCCGTCGATCTTAGAATCACCGCACACTTCACTCATTTGGGCAGTCACGGGGCACGACGAAGAAGAAGAAGAAGAATGAAAAAGAAGAATGAAAAGAAGAAGAATGAAAAGAAGAAGAAGAAGAAGAAGAATGAAAAGAAGAATGAAAAGAAGAAGAATGAAAAGAAGAAGAAGAAGAATGAAAAGAAGAATGAAAAGAAGAAGAAGAATGAAAAGAAGAAGAAGAAGAATGAAAAGAAGAATGAGAAGAAGAATGAAAAGAAGAAGAAGAAGAATGAAAAGAAGAATGAAAAGAAGAAGAAGAATGAAAAGAAGAATGAAAAGAAGAAGAAGAAGAATGAAAAGAAGAATGAGAAGAATGAAAAGAAGAATGAAAAGAAGAAGAAGAAGAATGAAGAAGAAAAGAAGAATGAAAAGAAGAATGAAAAAGAAGAAGAAAAAAGAAGAAGAAGAAGAATGAATGAAAAAAGAAGTAGAAGAAGAAGAAGAATGAAAAGAAAGAAGAAGAAGAAGAAAAAGAATGAAAAGAAGAAGAGAAGAAGAAAGAAAAGAAGAATGAAAAGAAGAATGAAAAGAAGAATGAAAAGAAGAATGAGAAGAAGAATGAAAAGAATGAAAAGAAGAAGAAGAAGAATGAAAAGAAGAAGAAAAGAAGAATGAAAAGAAGAATGAAAAGAAAAGAAGAAGAATGAAAAGAAGAATGAAAAGAAGAAGAATGAAAAGAAGAAGAAGAAGAATGAAAAGAAGAAGAATGAAAAGAAGAATGAAAAGAAGAAGAAGAAGAATGAAAAGAAGAATGAAAAGAAGAAGAAGAAGAATGAAAAGAAGAAAAAAGAAGAATGAAAAGAAGAATGAAAAGAAGAAGAAAAGAAGAATGAAAAGAAGAATGAAAAGAAGAAGAAGAAGAATGAAAAGAAGAATGAAAAGAATGAAAAGAAGAATGAAAAGAAGAATGAAAAGAAAAGAATGAAGAAGAAGAATGAAAAGAAGAATGAAGAAGAATGAAAAGAAGAATGAAAAGAAAGAAGAATGAAAAAGAAGAAGAATGAAAAGAAGAAGAAGAAGAATGAAAAGAAGAAGAATGAAGAAGAAGAAAAGAAGAAAGAAGAAGAAGAAGAAGAAGAAGAATAAAAAGAAGAAGAAGAAGAATGAAAAGAAGAATGAAAAGAAGAAAAGAAGAAAAAGAAGAATGAAAAAAAGAATGAGAAGAAGAAGAATGAAAAGAAGAATGAAAAGAAGAAGAAGAAGAATGAATGAAAAGAAGAAGAAGAAGAAGAAGAAGAATGAAAAGAAGAAGAAAAGAATGAAAAGAAGAATGAAAAGAAGAAGAAGAAGAAAAGAAAAGAAGAAGAAGAATGAATGAAAAGAAGAAAAGAATGAAAAGAAGAATGAAAAGAAGAAGAAGAAGAATGAAAAGAAGAAGAAGAATGAAAAGAAAAAGAAGAATGAAAAGAAGAATGAAAAGAAGAATGAAAAGAAGAAGAATGAAGAAGAAGAATGAAAAAAGAAGAATGAAAAGAAGAATGAAAAGAAGAACAATGAAAAGAAGAAGGAGAATGAAAAGAAGAATGAAAAGAAGAAGAAGAATGAAAAGAAGAAGAAGAATGAAAAGAAGAAGAATGAAAAGAAGAATGAAAAGAAGAGAAGAAGAAGAATGAAAAGAAGAAGAATGAAAAGAAAAGAATGAAAGAAGAAGAAGAAAGAATGAAAAAGAAGAAGAAGAAGAATGAAAAGAAGAATGAAAAGAAGAAGAAGAAGAATGAAAAGAAGAAGAAGAAGAAGAATGAAAAGAAGAAGAAGAAGAATGAAAAGAAGAAGAAGAAGAATGAAAAGAAGAAGAATGAAAAGAAGAAGAAGAAGAATGAAGAAAGAAGAAGAATGAAAAGAAGAATGAAAAGAAGAAGAAGAAAGAATGAAAAGAAGAAAAGAAGAAGAAGAATGAAAAAGAAGAGTATTCCAGTACAGCAAAAAGTGTATCTGCAGAGAGCTCCGCTATTTCTGACAGTTCTCTGACAGTTCCTTCACATTTACAGCGGTTGAAACATTTGTATCTATTTATTTCCGAATAAAAACATCTGTATCCTAAATGGAAACAAATAGATACAATGTTTCAACCGCTGTAAATGAACTGTCAGAACTGTCAGAAATAGTGGAGCTCTCTGCAGTGACACTTTTGCCGGCTGATCGGGAAAAATTTGATTCGTGCACCCGAAGTTGGCTAAAATTCGGATTCGATGCGAATCGAATTTTTCTCGATATTCAAAACGAATTCCACTTCGCCTGGTTCGATTCGCTCATCTCTAGTTATAATGTAAGTTAAGTAAACATAGAGCCCAAAAAAGCTAAAACATTTCTATTTCTATTTGTACTTTTATTTTTACTTGTAAATCTTGAACGTTAAGGTAATTTTAACCACTTGCCTCCTGAGGATTTACTCCCCTTCCTGACCAAGCCATTTTTTTTGCGTTACAGCACTACATTATTTTAACTGACAATTGCACAGTTATGCAATGCTACACCCAAATGAAATTTACATCCTTTTTTTCCCACAAATTGAGCTTTCTTTCAGTGATATTTGATTGCCTCTGCCTTTTTTATTTTTTGCGCTATAAAAAAAATAAAAGACTGACAATTTTGAGAAAAAAAACATTATTGTTGACATTTGGCTATTAAACGTGTCCAATAACAAATTTTTAAAAATCAAATTTAATCATAAATTTAGGCCAAAATATATTCTGCTACATGTCTTTGCTGAAAAAAATCCCAATACGTGTAAGATAATTGGTTTACGTAAAAGTAATAGTATTTACAAATGGCGGTATAGATACTGAATTTTTTATTTTTTTTACTAATAATGGCAGCGATCAGCGATGTATAGCAGGACTGCGGGACTGCAGTGGACATTCTGACACTGGGGAGAACTGATTTGGTGTCACTGACATCCCAAGTGACACCAATACAGTGATCAGTGCTAAAACAAAACAGCACCGACACTGTACTAATGACACTGGGCAGGAAGGGGTTGACATGAGAGGCGATCAAAGGGTTAACTGTGTGCTGGGAGTGTTTTACTGGGGGGCGGTGTGTGTGGGTGCTTCACTGTAAGGACACCGATCTGGATGGCTGTGCTATGCACAGCCATCCAGAGCAGTGTGCCCGAACCGACTGTTAGTAAACAAAGCAACCCTCCTCCCCATCGGAGATCCTCTGTAATCACCGAGACCCAATGATTGACAGCCACGGCCGCGAATGGCAGAGCGGGTAGGCACCCTACCCGCACACACCCTACCTGGAAATGCAAAATCACATATATATATACATGTAGCAGTATATCTGCTGTAGGGCGGCGGGAATGTGGTTAAGGTGGGTGGAGCAAATACAGAAGAAAAATATTTTGAACTGCTACACCTTATTTTGCTATGCAGAAACACCAGAGAAAAAAAATTCTGAAAAGGTATTTTTAGAAACAAAAAAAGATAAATCACTCATCATTATTGCATTTTAAGTCATGAAGGTATTTACAATGTAAGGAAGGCAAATGCAGAAAGTTTTTTTGATCTATGTACCTTATTTTACTCTACAGAGACACCAGAAAAGAAACTGGAAAAAGTGTCTGCAGAACCCAAAAGAGGTACTCACTCATCACAATTGCATTTGTAAGGTATCAAATAATTATTTGTGAGTAAACACAGAGAAGAAAGTAGAAAAGGTATCTGTGGAACCCAAAAAATTTAAATAACTCTTTAATACTTTTAGGTTAGGAAGGTGGTTTTAACGTGAGGGATGTAAATACTGAAAGATAGTTTGAAATATTTAAACTTATTTTACTATATAGAGGCTCCAGAGAAGAAACTGGAAAAAGTACCTGCAGAACCCCAAAAAGGTAATTACTCAGTATTGCATTAGTAAGTTATTAAGGTTTTTATAATAAAGGAGAGATTAACACATAAAAACTATTTTGCACTATTAATCCTTATTTTACTATGCAGAGATTCCAGAGAAGAAACCAGAAAAAGTACCTGAGGAACCCAAAAAAGGTAATCACTCATCAGTATAGCATTTGTAATGTATAACAAATTATTTGTGAGTAAACATGGAAAAGAAACTAGAAAAGGTGTCTGTGGAAACCAAAAAAATGTAAATAACTCTTAATACTTGTAGGCTGGGAAGGTGGTTATAATGTGAGAGAAATAAACACAGAAAGATATTTTGAACCATTGCCCCTTATTTTACTATATAGAGGCACCAGAGAAGAAACTGAAAAAAATATCTGAGGAACCAAAAAAAGGTAATCATTCATCAGTATTGTATCAGTAAGTTGTTAAGGTAATCACTCATTCGTATTCCATTTGTAAAATGTAAAGGTGGTTATAATATGATTGGGGTAAATGCAGAAAGATGTTTTGAACTATGGCATCTTATTATATTATTCAGAAATACCAGAGAAGGAATTAGAAAAGATATCTGTGGAACTCAAAAAAGGTAAATCACTTATTTATTTCTAAGCGATGAAGGTGATTATAATGTGAGTGGAGTAAATGCAGAAAGATATTTTGAACTAATATACCCAATTTTACTATACAGAAGCACCAGAGACGAAATTAGAAAAGGTGTCTGAAGAACCCAAAAAAGGTAAATCACTTATTTATTTTTAAGTGATGAAGGTGATTATAATGTGAGCGTAGTAAACGTAGAAAGATATTTTGAACTGCTACACCCTATTTTACTATACAGAGGCACCAAAGAAGAAATTAGAAAAAGTACCTGAAGAACCCAAAAAAGGTAATCACTAATCAGTATTTTTTTGTTAAAGTGTTACTAAACCCATGACCCTGCATTCACTATATCTGGTCTCCCACAGTATACACAACAGGGAAATGCAATTATTTTAGTAAATATAAACTACTTTTTTTCTACCTTTTCTCATCAGCAGTATATAACTGTCTTGTGACTTATATCAGTATCCAGCTGAGCACTGGTTAAAGCTTGTAGGAAGAGTTTTTATTCTCCTCTGACTGTCCTATGAGGCTGCATAACCCCTGATCCTCTGTCCAGACAGTGCCGAATGGCCCTGTGCTGATCACATGCACCCTCCCAAAGAAAAAAAAACTCTCTAACCATACACACTTAACTGAGCATGTGCAGAGTGACTCCTAGAGCTCACAGACAAAAGACAGGACCAAACAGCAGCTTTTTATATACAATGTGAAGGATTAACGCCTTAGGTTCCATAGTGAGTATAACAAGCATGCTTTACTGCATATACAGACTGATTTTACTGTTGTGGGTTTAGTAAGACTTTAATGTTAAAAGGTAGACATAATTTGAGCAAGGTAAACATAGAAGAATATTTTAAACCAGGTATCACTAAAAATGGCGGACCAGGGTCCGTATGCAGAGCAAGTCACTGTCCCATCCAGACCAATGCGGCCCCCCCATTTTGGATCTCCTTTTCCCCAGCTGTCTCGTGGTCATCCTCACAGAGCTGACAGAGGGAGTCAGGACAGTTTTGGATGGAGGGCGGGGGAGTGCCTGAGGTTAACAAACAGGTGATTGGTTGCTAGGATGAAGGGCAGTCCTAGCCATCAATCACTGTCTGTGTAAGGTAGGACAGTGGGGGGGAGGTGAAGTTAAATGGGTTAAGGACATTAGTGTGAAGGGGGGCTGATGTGAAAAGGAGGTGAGGACTGAATGTGGGGGGGGCTGAAGACTGAATGTGGGGGGCTGAGAACAGTAATGTGGGGGGACTGAGGACAGTAGTATGGGGGGGTTGAGGATATTAAACTTAAAGTGCAGGAGCTGGGGCCTGAAATATGAGGGGCTAGAGGCTGTGATTTGGGGGGCTGAGAGCATTAAAGTGAGGAGGGGGGCGCTGAGGACAGTAATGTGGGGGGCTAAGGAATGAGGTGTGTGGAGGCTGAGGATATTAAAATTGGGGGCTGAGAACTGTAATGTGGGGTGGCTGAGGACAGTAACATGAGGGGGGCTGAGAACAAAAACATGGGGGACTGAAGACAGTAATGTGGGGGGGGGGCTGTGGACAGTAATGTGAGGGCTGAGGACAGTAAAGTTGGGGGGCTATAGACAGTAACGTAGGGGGGTCTGAGGACAGTAATGTGGGGAGATGATGTAAAAAGTGGAAGATTGCTCTGCAGTGAAGGGGAGAGTACTGTTGGGGGGGGGGGGTTGATGTCCAGGAAGTGCGAGAACACTACTGTGAAAGAAGTGGAGGGGAGTGATTTTAAAAGGGGGAGCTGAGGACACTCATCAAAAGGGGATCTTGCTGTGAACAAGGAGGGAACTGTGATGTACAGTGGGGATTGAGGAGAGTGATGTAAGAACAGACTCAGATCTGTACATGTGCATGCACACATTGTGGGTAGGTCAGCCCATTCATTTTAATGGGCTGCGCTACCCGCAAGGAACACGAAGAAGTCCCTGACCCTTTTGTTTTTCAAAATTGCAATGAAGCAACACGTGGTTTGGCACACATGAAAATGCATTGCAGGTGCCTACAGGAGATTTGGACCCCTGATGCATAGAAATGTTACTGCCTGGACCTCGGTGAATTTTAATTCTATACCCCTGTTTTAAACTATTACAGCCTATTTTACTATATAGAGATGCCAGAGAAGAAATTAGAAAAATTACCAGTAGAACCCAAAAAAGGTATTCACTAATTAAAATTGCCTTGTTAATATGAAAAGGTAGATATAATGTAAGGAAAATGTAAACAGGCAAACACTTTTGAACTATTGCACCTAATTTTACTATGTAGAGACACCAGAGAAGAAACTAGAAAAGGTTTCTGTGGAATCTAAAAAAGGTGAATCACTCATAGTACTTGAAAGTTCTGAAGGTGGTTACAATGTGAGTAGAGTAAATGCAGAAATATATTTTGAACTATTATTCCTTATATTACTATACAGAGAGTCCAGAGAAGAAACAGGAGATGTTACCAGCTGAACCTAAAAAAGGTAATCCCTCATCAATATTAGATTGGTAATATGTAATCATGTAGTCATGATGTAAGTGAAGTAACACAGAAAGATATTTTGAACTATTACACTTTATTTTACTATGCAGAAGCACCAGAAAAGAAACTGGAAAAGGAATCTGTGGAACCCAAAAAAGGTAAATCATTCATAGTACTTGGTAATCACTCATCAGTATTAGATTGGAAATATGTAAAGGTAGTCATGATGCAAGTGAAGTAACACAGAAAAATATTTTGAACTATTCCACTTTATTTTACTATGCAGAAGCACCAGAAAAGAAACTGGAAAAGGAATCTGTGGAACCCAAAAAAGGTAAATCATTCATAGTACTTGTAAGTCGTGAAGTTGAAGGTAGTTATAATGTGAGTGGTGTAAATTCAGAAAGATATTTTCAACTGTTACACCTTTTTTTACTATACAGAGACACCAGAGAAGAAACTAGATAAGATATCTGTGGAACCCCGAAAAGGTACTGTACATTGTTTATAGTGCTTGTACTTCATAAGGGTGTGATAATAATCTGGGTGTGATAAGTGCAAAATGATATCTTGAACTATTACACCTTATTTTACTATACAGAGACACCATCAAAGAAATTAGAAATGGTGTCTGCAGAACCCAAAACAGGTAATTGTTTATGGTACTAGTAAATCATTTAGGTGTGGTGGTATAAAGTGAGTGGGGGCAAAGGAAAATATATTTTGAACTATTAAATCTTATTCCTTTTCATATTGTGGCCATGATTTGTGAAAGGGTCATTTGCCTTATCCTCTTTCTTACGTCATATGGGCTACTTTTATTTTTCTGTCCTGATTTTCAAATTTACAGTATAACTTAATGTTTAATTTAAAATACTCAGTCGCACATACTGTTTGAACACTTTGCAGATTGGTAGTGGTCATTTGGGAACCACAGACAACTTGCTTTCATGGCTACTAAGACAGCAGAGGGTTGAGAAACAGAATAGTAAGGGGCTTTCCATAAGGCACATGTTCCTGAGCCTCCATTGGAGCTCCCTACTGTTTCGTTCACAGTGTTGGTCAATCAGCTAAAGTATATTGTGCCTTTTATTTTACCTGCTTACATTAGTAATCAATTGGCCTTATTTATGATAAAAAATGGCTATTATTAGTGAAATTGTTTAGAAAGTACAGCTTGGTACCAAAATCAGAATTGCTTTTTTTTCTTTTTTTACAACTCCCTATTCACTTTTATTGCACTCTACTGGCTTCAGACTTCCAAAACCAGCGGAGGAGCACAATACACATTTGTACAGGTCACCTGTGCTTTTTTTTTGCAATGATTTTTTATTGAGGTTACACTGTAAAAATACAAAAGGTATAATAGAAAAACAAAACCACAAACAGAAAAATGGACAACAGCAACTATACACCTCTGACAAGTGTAAAAAGGGTAGGTTTATACATGAGTAAGCAAGTATAAAGGTAGCCCAGTTGCCTATTAAATATTATGATTGGTATTACTTAAGCAGGATATATTACAGTTTTTACCAATCTGTCCATATTTTCCATTACTTAGTAAAGATATCACATTTGGAAGAATTTATTGAAAGTAGGAAATCATAGGTATAGTTTTAATGAACCATAGGAACTACATCATATGGGTTAGGAGTCAGGGTGGACTTCCAATCTCTAAGCACAATAGAGTATGCTGCTAGTAAGATATGTATGACAACAGAGTGGAATCTGTGTGGATAGTTATCAATACTGAGAGGGGCTAAAGCCGGATGAGGGTGTGTTAAAATCCCCGTGATAGCAGAGATTATCTGAAAGATTTGCCTCCACAATCTGGTGAGATTAGGACAATTCCAGAGAATGTGCAGCAAGTGTCCCACTGGACCACAATTTTATCAGCATAGGGAGAAACTGGAGGAATAGAACTTAGGCAACCAGCATGGAGTATAATACCATTGGTTATTTATCTTATGTGCCATTTTCCAATGATTAATGCGTTGGAAAGCAGTTTGCCATTGTAGAAGGGTAAATGTGGTTTGGAGATCTTTCTCCAATTTTAAAATTGCAGATGTTTTGCTAAAGGTAAGTTTATCTTGTAGTAGATCAGTGGATGTATAGGAATGTCATGCTATGGGGTGAGCCATAATTATCGGGACTGAGCTTTTGGCTATAAATTGCAGAATATGGATACAGGTGAATTGCACTGCTCTTGGCAAATTAAAATATTCCACCAGATTCTCCAGGCCCTTGGGACTGGATCCACACAAAAAATCCTCTATTCATGATATATCATAGCTAAATGGAGGCTAGGTAGGAAGAATGGTAATCATTGATTCTAAGGCTTTAAGAGGGAGCTGGACCTCCCCACATCACACACAGTTTTACTATTAAAGACTCTCCACACTAGCAAGGAGGCTTGGGTAGGTAGAGGGAGACCACAGGTCCCATGGTTTCCATAAATCACCAATAAATGACATATATAAGTCAGGTGTTAGTATTAAAGCAGATTCCACCTCTATCTACAATGCACTATCTGCATTTGTAAACCAATATTTAAGTTGGTCCCAATGTATGGCCCAGTAGTAATCCCCAAAATCCACTGGTACTGCACCTCCAATCTTTCTGTGTCAAATTAGTTGGGTGTGGGCACACCACTTTTTTGCGTTCCATATACAGTGTACATTTCCGTATTAAACTGTATTTACTGACACGGAGCAGGAGTCCAGTAATAGAAGGAACATGGATCACCTCCACTAATTGCTCAGTCATGAGATTAAACATGATAGGGGATAGAGGACGACCCTGCAGAATTCTATTTGAAATATTGAAAGGCTTAGATACCAGACTGCAGGTATAGACCTGGGCTGATAGATTGGAATATAACACCAATATAGAGGAGAAGATGGTTCCCTGAAAGCCAAATTTGGAAAGGGCCATAGTTATGTAAGTCCAATGGACCCAATTGGACACCTTTGCATCAATAGATGCCTGGTTGTGATCTCCTGGTTGTGTTGGAGGCCTGCCTTCCCTAATAAAGCCCTTTTCATCATGTTGCACCAGAAGTGGCATAATATCCATCAAACAACTGGCCAGCACCTTTGCATAAATTTTCAAAATCATGTTTAGGAGTGAGATTGGACAGAATTCAGCCACTGTTGTGAGGTTTTTGCCAGGTTTTGGCAGTGGTTTAACCACTTGCCCTCCAGCGGTTTTGTCCCCCTTCTTCACCAGGCTATTATTTGTGATACAGCACTGCATTACTTCAACTGACAATTGTGCGGTCATATAATGCTGAACATAAATGAAATTTGTAATTTTTTTTCCCAAAAAAAGATCTTTCTTTTGGTGGCATTTGATCACCTCTGTGTTTTTTATTTTTTGCACTCTAAACAAAAAAAGATCGACAATTTTAAAAAAAGCAATATTTTTGACTTTTTTGCTATAAAACATATCCAGTAAAAAAAATAAAAAAAATAAAATGTCTTCATAAATTTAGGCCAAAATGTATTGTGCTACATGTCTTTGCTAAAAAAAATCCCAATAATTGTATATTAATTGGTTTACGTAAAAGTTATAACATCTACAAATGGCGGTATATACTGTATACTGGAATTTTTATTTACATTTTTTTTATACTAGTTATCATGGTGATCAGCGACTTATAGCAGGACTGAGGAACTTCAGCGGGCATTCTGACACTGGGTGGAAACTGATTAACTGTCACTGACATCCCAGTGACACTATTAGAGAGTTCAATGCTGTACTGTACTAATAACACTGAGGAGGAAGCAATTAACATCTGGGGTGATCAAAGTGTTAACGGTGTGCTGTGTGTGTGTGTTTTACATTGTGTGTTTTACAACTCTCTATGCAGAGAGACACAAAGCAGCATGTCCATGCTGACAGAAGAGAAACCTGTGTTGTTTACACAAAGTTCTCTCCCGTCATATATCTTCAGAAAGTGTGGGAAGATGCAGGATGGATATAAATTGTCGAATATCTGAATCAGAGGGCTGGAGTGTTTTTGGAAATCTTTCTGCAGGTTGTATAATGCACTGTAATGAAGAGCAAACACATCCACTATCTCTTAAGGGTTCAGAAATGTTTGTTTAGAGAGAGGGTGGAGCAATGGGAGATCCTAGATTTGGATCTTTGGGCCTTAATTATTTTTGCCAGATATTTCCCTGCCCTATTAGCATTTGCATTTGTGCATAGATTTAAATGGCAAAGATATTTATCAAGTTGTTGATTTATTGTTGAGATAGGAGTTCTCGTACTTTCCCTCCCAGTTTAGTGAATAAGGAAGTCATAGGCTTGGATTTATTTTGTAGTTCTAAGCTGTGGATATCTGAAAGAACTTAACAAACTCAATGAATCAATATGCCTCTTATATATATGCCTTGTGGGCATTCTATAGGAGGTAGGGATTTTTTTTTTTAAGCAGCATTATGGCCACAGTAAAACCATACCACAGGTTTTTGAAATGAGCCCCTTAGTGTTAGACACAAAACTTTACTGAGGTTTTTGTGATTCCTGATTTAATTAGAATATGATGTTTGTTGCTAACAGAAAAATACCCCCAAATTTTGCGTTTATTTCAGATGGGATACCTATTTGGTCAACGGAGTGTCTGCATAGGTACTAAAACAGGCGTACTGTATAGGCAAGCTGTCAGAATGTGGATTTTTATTAGAGCAACCAATCATTGTTAACACATATTCATACATGGGGATTAGTTAATTAAAGGCACTGAGGCTGTTCACTTTGCAAATTAATGTTCACTGGAGACGTGTACATGTGTTTTCTTTGCAAAGTAAATGGTAGTAAATAAGCAGAACCTGTGTTTACTTTGAATACTCAATCATGTGCAAGGGAAAAAAAAACTGGATTTTTACTAGAAAATTATTTGTTTATTAAAATGAACACAGCTTATATCTTGTGGAAAATATACAATAAAACCATTTTGGTTACTATGGGTAAAAAAAATCTTTTTCACATTTTTCTCAGTTTCACTATATGTACATCCTTTCACCAAAAAGGATTGTTGGTTTTCCAACATGCAGAAGTTTTGTTATGTGATCAGTATACAAATAACTTATTGTGTTTTTTTTTCTTTAATATGAAAATCTTTTACACATAATAACCAGATTCTTGATTTTCTAATTTAGAGATACCAGAAAAAAAAGAAGAAAGGGTACCAACAGAGCCAAAAAGAGGTAAGAAAAAAATCAATATTAATTTGGTGCACGATACATATTGAGGTGTTACACATGTGGACGGAGAAGTTGATTTTTTACAATGTACACATTAATATTTTTTCTGTATATATTTTTAATACAATTTCTACACTAATGACACCTAAATCTATGTCTGTACCCTGCAGCACATTCCATCAGTCTCTTCAAAACTAATTTACTAACAGGTCTGGATGTTACATCACTTTCTCAATCTCAATCTATCTAAATCAGAGCTCATAATGTTCCTTCCCCCGTGGGCCCCTTCCCCGACACCAGGGTGCTAGGTGTAATCCTGGACTCTGAACTCTCCTTCCAGCCCCACATCCAACTGCTGTCCAGATCTACAAAATATGCCCCTTCCTAACTAATGACACCACAAAGTTTATAGTCCTCGCCTCAACTATAGCAACTCCTTTTTCATTGGCTTGTGTTTACATCCACCCTTCAGTCAATCATGAATGCTGCTGCCAGACTCATATTATCAACAGTTCAGTGTCTGCTACCCCTCTCTCTGCCATTCCCTCCACTGGCTTTTACTCACCTAACAAAAATTCAAAATACTAACAACAAAGCCATCCACAACTCGGCTCCCAGCAACATCAATAACCTAGTCCCAAAATACCAACCAACTTGTTTTCTTTATTTCTTCCAAGACTATCTGCTCTTTAGCTCCCTTGTCGCCTCCTCCCTTGCTTACATCCAGGACTTCTCCTATGCCTCTCCCATTCTATGGAACTTCTTACCCCAATCTGCCAGACTATCTCCTACACTGTCCATTTTTAGGTGATCCCTGAAAACCCTCCTCTTCAGAGAAGCCTATCCTACCTCCACCCATCAGCTGTACTTTTATTTTCTTCATCAGCTCATCCTCCACAGTTATTACTGTTTGCATCACTTGACACTCCCTTTTAAATTGTAATATCTAATGAACATAGCCCCTCTGATTCCTCCTGTATTAAATTGTACTGTTTGCCCTCACATTGTCAAGTGCAGTGCAAATCGTTGCTGCTACATAAATTCTGAATCATAATAATATTGATAATAATATTTTAGAAAAGAAACACGGGAAGCTAGTAAAGCCCAAGAAAGGTAACTAAAAAACATCTTATGAATATTAATGAACTAGATTTTTCTGGCCTCCTAAACTAGGAAGTGTGTATTTGGAGATGTCACGCAAAGTCAAATAGTTGGACTTGGAGAAGTACTGAATATTTGTAATGTAATAAAAGACCAAGTCTGGGTTACCCAAGGCAGCAAACATGTAAGATGGGTAAAATAATATTACTAGTTAGAATGGTATCAGGAAGAATATAACAGAGGGAACACAATTATTTCACTTTTGTCTGGATAAAGTTTTAAGTAGTTATACATTATTGAACAAATTGCTGATGGACAATTTGATATGCAAATGTGAATAAAAATACTGTATATTATGTGAATAAACAGACCACTTAATATAGAACTTCATAAATGGTCACTTCAGTTCAGTTTTAGGCCGACCACTTCACTTATTGCTACAGATAATCCCTTTACTGAAATCCTTCTACAAGAAATAGCTGATGTTAACCTGATGAAATCATATGGTAAAAGGGAAACAAGAGTATTTTTTTACTCATTTTGAATTATTATTGAAACATTTACATGAAAGTAATTGTGACTTTAAATTTGCTAACTTTCTAAGGATGGTATTTAGTTTACAGATTATCACCCTGCAAGATAATCTATCTAGAATTGTCCTTTTTTTTTTTAAATAAATCAAAGCAGAAGAGATTCCTTCTGTTGCAGGTAACATAAAATTATCAATGCTTCCGGGTATGGGGAAGCATATAATCTCCCAGGCTTTATGCAGCACTCAGGCATAATCTCCAGTAGACATGTGCAGTTTTTTTCATTCCGAATCGAAATTTGGACACATTTTTCTTTTATTCAGAGATTTGAATGTATCTAAATTTTGAATTACAATAGTAACGAATTTGAACGAATCTGAAATAATTAAACTAAATTTTGGTCAAATTCGAATCAATTTGAATTCAAAACATATTCGACAACAAATTCAAATTTGAAAACAAGAATAAAATAAATAAAATAGAACAGAAAATAAAGAAATAGAAAAGATTAGTATAGAATAGAAAATAAAATAATAGAATAGAAAATAGAGGAAAAAAGAACAAAATAGAAAATAAAAGAATAGAATGGAATACAGTAGAATACATTAGAGTAAAACAGAACAAAATAGAATAGAAAAATAAGGAATAGAAAAGAATAGATTGCATTATAATAGAATAGAAAATATTAGAAAAAAAAACCATACAACAGAATAGAAATGAAAGAAAAGAATAGAATAGAAAATAATAGAGTAAAACAGAGCAAAATAGGACAGAAAATCAAAGAATAGAATAGAATCAATTAGAATAAAATAGAATAGAAAATCAAAGAATAGAAAACCAAAGAATAGAATAGAAAAGAATAGAATATAGAATCAAAGAATAGAAAAGAATAGATTAGTATAGAAAAAAAATATAATATAATAAAATAGAAAGAATATAACTGCCTTTAGAAATTTGAATTCTGAATAGAATGAATTTGATTTCGAACAGAATACATTAGAATAGAATATAAAATAATAGAAAAGAATAGAATAGATTAGAAAAGACTAAAATACTTTGCAAAAAATTGTGAGCTGCACTATGCTGACGTGAGTAGTGATTAACAAAGGGACAGTGATCATTTTGCTGAAATAAAAATTTCCAATAAGGTCAAGCAACTCTTCATATAGCCCATATACCATCAAAAACACATGGATTGTGAATTTTGGATTGTAATATTTAGAATTAATATCAAATCCATTATATTTATTATCAAATCCATTAGAATTGTTTTTAAATCAGTTGAAATTATTTTCAAATCCATTAAAATTATTTTAAAATCTGTTTAAAATTTCAAATTCAGACGAATTTGGATAAACTAAACGAATTTCAAAAAATGAATTAAAAAAATTTAATTAATCAAACGAAACAAAATTAGTCAAATAGCAAATCGAAACAAAATGAAACAAAACTAATTTTTTTATTTTGCACATGTGTAATCTTCATGAATACTGTCACATAATAAAAGTTTTGCTCATTTACTTGCTTTGCGCAATGGTATTGCACTGAGCATCCCCAAACCTCATCTTCTGGGGTCCCCTGCATGTGTTCTCAGCTCCTCCTTTTCTGTGTCTGCCCCCATAGCAAGGGGGGCTTTGCTTCTGAGCTGAGCTGTGGGAATTCATAGACACACAGCATGGCTTAGCCATGTTCCCCCTCCCTCCTCACAGGATTTGATTGACAGCAGCAGAAGTCAATGGCTCCCACTGCTGTCTCTCCTGTGAGGAGAGGAGCACAGAGCAGCAATGCTGCAGAGAGGCACAGTGCTGAGTTGTGATACAACAGAGGTAAATATATAGGGAAGTGAGGAAGTGATACTACCACTGGGACATTTTTTACCATAATGCAGGGAATGCATTAAGGTAAAAAAGTCCTTCCATTATAACCTCTTTGCCCTTGATTAAAACTAAATGACAGTTTCAGACCTTGCTTTTATTGTTAATAGAAAAAGTATGGTTTGGGTATGACATCCCCTGTTTGCATAGCTATGCATTGCATACCCTCTAATTTTGTAATATAGGACAAAGTCAAGCTTTACAACATTTATAATCAGGGGCAGACTGACCATTTGGAAACTTGGCCCCTGCCCGAGGGCCCGGGGTCAGTAGGGGGCCCCATGAGATGCCCCTGGTACCTTTTTCAAAGGCTTTTTTGAGTTTGGGCAAGGACACAGGGGCCCCATGATCCCCTATTACCCGGGGGGCCCCATGAGTTGTCAGTCCGCCCCTGTTTGTAATACAAAGTAATATCCATATACAATGCAAATTCCCCTTTAATATTTTAGAGATTCCAATAAAAGCCCCTGAACAGCTACCATCTAAACCTAATAAAGATAATTACAGTACATATGAATACAAAAACAAAATAATGCCTGATCTAAAATCTTGCATAGCAAGCCCAAATATAGCCTATCTGATCTGGGGGTGCAGTAAAATAAGTCAGGAGGCATAATGTCAGTATTGTGACAGCGATTCATGGAGCCAATATGCTTGTTCACTTGGCACACTTCTGTCCCATGGAGTCATAACCCAGAAGTATTGTCTGACAGGTAGTGCAGAGGTGGTGCAGGACTGAAATGGGAATGCTGTCATTAGTTTAGGGTGATTAAACAGAACATGTTCCTCTTTACATCAAGACTCCTAAAGGAATCCCTCCTTACATCAATTGCCTCATCAGAGTGCTCTCTTACATCAATTGCCCCCCTCAGAGTTCCCCCTTACATCAACTGTCCCCATCAGAGTGTCCCCCTTACATTAATTGCCCCCCTCAGAGGTGCCCCTCATATCAATGGTCCCCATCAGGTCTCATGGATTTGTGGATGCACTCTGAAGTCTGGAGGGCACAACTAAAATCCCCAGCACCCCTCTAGATTTGGGGATGTTGCATACAGTGGTTTTGCAAAATGTACCTTAGATTGTCATTCATCATACAATTTATTTGTAGAAACACAAGCAAAAAAATTACAAGAGCCTGTGCAACCAAAACAGGGTAACAACATAAAGATTTTTTTTTCTGGTATGGGTAATGTTTTGTCCTGTGGAATCATGTATAGTAGCAGTTAAGAAGTATGTGTAGCCATTTTTTTTTTGGTTTGGTTAAAGTAGAGTGCGGATTAACACCCTTATCAAGTTTTCATTGCTGTCTGTATTCCTGATGGGGAGAATCATGCCTTTATTTCTCACAGAAAGCGATAGGAAAACCTACATTTTACAGTTGTCACTAGAACAGGAGGTAAAGGGACATCTGTTCTTGTGATATCTGTTTAAAGGGGAAATGTTCTTCACTTTGTTGGGATTTTTCTCTTACTAGTCTTTTTTCTTTGGAGGTCACAGCTTTAAGGACTTGCTTGGTTCAAATTGCAATTGCTTAAAGTAGCTGAAAGGGGTTTAAAGTTTTTCTTACCTTAATGCATTCTGCATTAAAGTTAAAAAAAGTTCATGTTTACCCCCTCAGCCCTCCAAATACTTACCTGAACTTTATCTCGGTCCAGCACAGTGCACGATAGGGCAGGGAGGGGGTGTACTGGCTGCTTCAAGAGGTAGAGGCGGTATTATTAACCATAGCCTTCACTCCAGCACTCTTCTCTTCTCCCTGAGGCCCTGGGTTGTGACCAGTTCCTCAGCCTCATCATGTACAATGAAGGACTATTATTTCTGCATTGTACTTTAGTAGGCGAGTATTCAATGACAGACTGGATCACCATAGGGAAGAGGCTGTGGAGGAATTGTTGCAAAGATTGGAGGAGCCTTCTGGATGGAGGACTGTGGAATTACACCTTTTTACTCTACCCTTAGACTTTTTTTTCTTGCACCTGAAGTTTGGCTTTAGGATCATCCTGTACCTAGAAAGCTGAAAAGCTTATATCAGAGGTTGAAAATCTTTTTTTTTTTTGCCCTGTTCAGGATCTATGCTAAAGATTTGCAGCATGGGGAGGGCCCACATTACCAGAAATCATAATGCCACAGACATTCTACAGCTTGGGGTTTTATAAGTATGCTCTACAACAGCTATCATCCGCCAATAGTTCGTGAGCCACATGGAGCTCTCAATGACCTTTGTTGTGGTTATCGGCAGCTTCTCAGTACTTTATTTCAAACCTCTACTAAATAACATTCTAAAGACTGTGGCTCCAGTGTCTGAGTTCTGTCCTCCCAGATAGAGAGGTTGTAGAATCCAGCACTGGGGTGATGTGCAGACTCTGAACAAAGACAACCAACACAAGCCTGGAGCCCCAAGCACTAGAAACCAGTCTGAGTGGAGGAGACATCTGACTGGTTGCTAGGAGCCAATAAAAACAAGTATATATGCTTAGATTGTGCATCTAACCATTACATGTGTGCATAGTCACTACACAGTCTCAAATTACTTAATATAATTTGCTAATAAATAAAAGTTCCAAATTTGTGAATAAGTGCCTATGCTCGTGTTCCAACTTGATTACAATGCTTCACTTGCTCCGCTTATTTACAATGCTTGATACATCAGTGCTCAGAGTGCCCCACATGGACTAAAACTCACCCTCTGCAGATGACCATCAATCTCTAGAGTGGTCTACAGCACCTGTGGGGCATTTCCCAATGAAGCTGATTAGTGTCTCCAGATCCCGCAATCTCGGGGTAGATGTTTAACAAAAAGAACAAGAAGGGGAATCCCATAGCATAAAACCGTTATTTTATTTAGGATAATAATAAATATTATTATTATTATTATTACATCGAGTTTATATAGCGCCAAAGGGTTTGCTCAGCGCTGTACAATAGGGGGGACAATACATGGCACAGTACAACAAAAACAGACAGCGTACGAGGGGTAAGAGGGCCCTATTCTTTCAAGCTTACAATCTAGGAGGGAGGGGGTAGTGGAACAATAGGAAGTGGCTGAGGGGAATGAAGTGGCTGAGGGGGATGAAGTGGCTGAGGGGGATGAAGTGGTGGGAGGAATGAGGGAGAATGGCCGTTAGGTGAGGGTGGGGTAGGCTTCCCTGAAGAGATGGGTTTTGAGGGAGCGCCTGAATGTGGGGAGGGAAGGCGATAGTTGGATGGATTGGGGCAGTGAGTTCCAGAGGATAGGGGAGGACCTGGAGAAGTCCTGCAGTCGTGCATGGGAGGAGGGGACCAGGGAGCAGGATAGAAGGAGGTCCTGTGAGGAGCGAAGGGTATGGGTAGGGTGGTACTTGGGGATCAGGTTGGTGAGGTAGTCAGGGGCAGTGTTATGAACGGCTTTGTAGGTCAGGATTAGAAGTTTAAATTTGATGCGTTGGGCAATCGGGAGCCAGTGGAGGGAGAGGCAGAGGGGGGTGGCAGAGGTGGAGCGGGTGGTGAGGTGGATGAGTCTGGCCGCTGAGTTCAGGATGGTCTGGAGCGGGGAGAGCCTGCACTTGGGTAGGCCAGTGAGAAGGGAGTTGCAGTAGTCAAGGCGTGAGATGATGAGGGAGTGTACAAGATGTTTGGTGGTGTCTGGGGTGAGGAAGGCACATATCTTGGCAATATTGTGGAGATGGAGCCTGCAGGTGTTTGCAAGTGATTTGACATGAGGGAGGAAGGAGAGGTTCGAGTCAAGAATGACGCCAAGGACTTTGGCTTGCGGGGCGGGAATGATAGTGGTGTTGGTGGTGGTGATGAATAGGATGGGGGGGGTGTGGGCAGGGGGAAAGACGAGGAGTTCGGTTTTGGAGAGGTTAAACTTGAGGAAATGGAGCGACATCCAGTCTGAGATGTCGTTTAGGAGGTGAGTGATGCGGGCGGAGATTGTGGGGGTGAGGAGAGGGGTGGAGAGGTAAATGTGAGTGTGTATAAAAAATACACACTCACAAGTAAAGTGCTTATGACCAGCACCTGGTGTACTCAGCCTTATTTAGTATAAATGATAGCTAGAATGCATATTTGTAAAAAAAATCACATTAAAAAAAAATGTTTTTTTTTAACAGAGAGTAATGAAAGATGAAAAAAAGAAAAAACACCCAAAGTATTATTGTGAGTTCTACAATAAGTACAGTGCAGCAAGAAGGCATGTCCTAAAATAAATCAGTTGACAGCAAAATCAGATATGTGAGAAAAGGAATGAGGCACAATTATTCTGAATTAAAATGAGCCAATAAACAGTTGCAGAATACTTACAGTTAAATTAATCTAACAGAATGTTCTATTATTCGAGTGTAATAGCGTATTTCCTAATTTTGCTATACCATGCAACAATTGTTATCCTTTTTTGTAAAATATATCAGCGAGGAAACACCTAAATATGAACATTAATAAACAAAAAAACCTAGCATCATTCAAAGTGTTAATCCACCAGGTCTAGCACATTACAGAAGATTATCTAAGGCTCTCTCTCTCTCTCTCTCTCTCTCTCTATACTGTATATTTAATATAAAATGTATTTTTATGTATACAAGCCAAAACATTTTTTCTTTTTGGACAGAGTGGGAGAGGATTAAAACCACCATGCCTTGTATACTCAACAGGAAGTGAGAAAATATCTTTCCAATATGAATGAAATCTGCTCTTAGACAGTTGTCACAGTAGGTTGTTCTGGTGGCAACTCAAAAGTCTAATTTTACCCTCCTTTTGATTCCCAGGGACACTGGTGACAGGGTCCATCAGAGAGAGTAAATCTCCCTAACAGGGACACAGACAGCAATTTAAAACCACCTATAAACAAATCCATTTAGGACTTGACACCTGTCACTGATAGGGAGTGCATGGCTATTAGCAATGCTTTATTAAAGCTCTTAAAAAAGAAAAATCCAGCACCCCCCAGTTGTTAATTGAGGGTTTAACAGAACAGAAGAGAAAGAAAAAGGAACATGTTTTTGGCACCTTTTCTTTGTCACCTGTTTTATTTAGCTCTCAATAAACAACTGATTCTAATTACAGAGTGCTGTTTTTTCTGTTTTATGAACAACAAAACCCAATGGGAATTCTAACCTTCACTACTCCGTTAAAACCTGAAAAACCTTGCCTTTAGTTATACTTTAAGTTAGGCTGGGGCTATAGGCATTAACCTACATTGACCCTAGTAACTGCAGACATTATACACCTAAACTTTTTATAGTTTATGAAAGATTGGAGAACAATTAACACGTTTTTCCCAATGACAACACTTCATCAGCAAGCAATCCAAGTTTGACATTGTTATTTATGTATATACATTTAAAAAAATGTGGCTGTTACTTGTTTGTTGCCAATTTATCTTGCAGAAACTCCAGAGAAAATCCCCAAAGAGCCAGCAGAACCTAAACAAGGTATCTATAAAAATAGTCTCAAGCTAGCTTAAGGGTAAGACTATTAAGGACAATGCTTAATGCCCCAAAAGATGGCAAGGCATATTTTTTTATTTGTCACTGCCTATTTACTAGGGATTTAAAAGTGGTTGAGACAGCATTAATGCTGGTGACCAGAGTAATGTTTAGTGGCATCACTTTGTTGTTTTCAGTGCAAGATAGAACTGGGTGCTTGGTAAGATGAAATGTGAAGCTTAGGGGAGCTGAATACAGTACATAAAATTGATGAGGCCAGTACAATGATATCATTACTGTGTGCCCAAAATTTTTTTTTTTATAGAGGCTTTTCATACTTATAGGCATCAGGGATTATATACTGGCTCTATATCAAAGTGTCCTTTGCTGGCAATATACATTTATACTGATAAAATATCAGTTTTTGTCACAGACACCCAAAGTTAGTATTATTATTTTACTGAATTAAAATGAAACTACTTTAAATAACAGCCAGTGAGCAAAATGAGGAAAGAGGGAGGGGACAGGGCCAAGCCACAGATCTGTGTGTTAATGGACATGCAGAACATCACTAAGATAGGGGCACCCAAGCCTGCTTAGATGCCCTCATAGCAAGCAGTAGTCAAGGCAGGAGATAACCAGGGAGTGAATTAGGAGCTTTGTGGTGTCATCGATTAGGAAGGGGCATTTTTTGGAGATGTTGTGGAGGTTGAGGCAGCAACGTTTGGACAGTGATTGTATGTGGAATCAAAAGGAGAGCTCAGAGTCCACCTAACACCCTGGCATGCAGAGATGGGTTGATGATTGTGCCAGTGACCTTGACTGAACAGTCAGAGGAAGGGGCAAATGGGGAAGGAAATATTATTAGCTCCGTTTATAATAGCTGGAATTTGAAGAAGTGTTGAGACACCCAGACTGATATGTCAGTTAGCAAAAATAGTGATTTGTGAGGAGATTGATGTTGTGAGCTGATTAGTGGAGAGATAGATTAGGGTATCATAAGAGTATAAATGACAATGAAAGCCATGGGAGGCTATCAGTTGGCCCAGGGAGGAGGTGTAGATTAAGAAAAAAAGAGGTCCAAGAAGAGAGCCTTACCTGACGTTAACTGGAATTCTCAAACTGCTACTACCAGCAGGATCAAGAATGTAATGGAGGCAATAAATTCTCTAAAACAGTTAGTAAAAAGCCCAACCCAAGGTGGTAATATTCTACACCTAGTACTGACAAATGGGGATTTATTGTCTGATGTTGAGGTGGAAGAAAATGTAGGTTCTAGTGATCACAAATATCTTTGGTTTGATATTAAAGAAATAACAAAATCACATGCAAAAACAAACATTTTCCATTTCAAATAGACAAATGTTGCTGTTATGGGGAAATTCTAAAAAATAAAATTTGAATTTAAAGGCTGGAGTAAAATGACAGGATTCCATAATCAGTGGGCACTGTTAATGTCTACCATCCTGGAGGCAACTAGATTATATGTTAGGAAAAGTATAAGCAGAAGAAAAAAAAACAATATAGTAAAGGAGAAAAAAAAACAGCATATAGGAGATTCAAGGAAACAGAAAGTGTAGCTAATATCAGGGCTGCCAAAACACAGAGGATAAAATGGCAAAATTTAATAAGAAAGGAGACAAATTCATTTTTAGGAAAAAATGCAATGGGATTAGAAAAATGGGTGCAACAATTATGTTTGGGGAGACCTGGATGTAGCAAACCATTTCAACAATTACTTCTGTTCAGTCTTTTTTCAGGAATAAATTGTATTAACAATACCAAGTTTGGGGATATTGGACCATTAACAGATCTTTTTATTCAGTCTCCTCTAATAAGAGATGTTCCCCATGACTGGCAGACAGCTAATATCTATCCACAAGAAGGGTAAAAAGGTAGAAGCTGACAATTACAGGCAAGTGAGTTTAACATTTGTAGTAGACAAGTTAATGGAATCACTACTGCAAAGAAAGATCATCGGTCACTTAAAAAACACTCAACTTACTGGACCAAAAGCAGCATGGCTTTACTGAGGGTAGATCATGTCAGACTTATCTGGTTGAATTTTTAATTATATCACAAATGTTTTGTACTAGGGTGATGCATCTTGATTTCAGCAAGGCATTTGATATAGTTCCACAAAATGATCTATTTAAAAAGGTGTACAAGGTAGGATATAACCCTTGGGTGGTTCAATGGACATGCAGCTGGCTAAAGGGTAGATACCAGAGTGTGGTAATAATTGGGGTTTATTCGGAAAACAGAGACCAGTCACTAGTAGTGTACCACAAGGCTCTGTACTAGGTCATGTTCTATTTAATCTAATGTAAGTGATGTATCTAAAAGTTTGGTGGGTAAGGTATGTATTTTTGCTGATGACACAAAGGTGTGCAATAGGGTTGATATCCCTGAAGGTGTCTGTAACATCCAATGTCATTTGGCATTGCTGGAAACTGCAGTTCATTGCTTCAAAATGTAAAATAATAAACCTAAGGAAAAATAATTAATTGTCAGAGTAAAACACTGGGTATAAAGCGTTGGCCAGCACTACAGAGGGAAAGGATTTGGGAGTACTTTTTTCAAATTATTGCAAAATGAGCAAAGAGTGTGGCCAGGCTGTGGGAAACGTGAATGCAATGCTAGGGTGCATTACTAGAGGGGTCACCAGCAGAGGGGTCTCCAGCAGGAAGAAGGAGGTCCTGATTTCCCTATATAAATTACCCCTGTTTGCAAAGTAGATAGTCCAACGTATTTCATAAGAGGCATGGCAAGTTTTTTGAAGTTGTAATTTTTTTGTCATAATTTTTCGGAAAATGAAGAAATGAAAATAATTATGTTCACAATTTTTTTTATATACTGTCACCAGTGCAATACAGTGTCAGCATATAACTGGTGTGGCAGTGATCAGGGACACTGACTGGTGACAATATGAAAAAAAAAACTGATAATTTTTTTTTTTTCTATTTTTTTTTAAATTTTTATAAACGTTTTTTCCCTTTTTTAAGTTTTTTTTTTTTTCATATTACACTATGACCAAAGTAAGTAGTATAATGTTACCATAGTAACATTGTACTACTTTGGGGAAGTGATCAGTATTTTTTTTTCACACAATTTGATTGCTTATAGCAAAGGATTTCTTTGCAATAAGCAAGCATTTAACTGAATGAAATTGATATATTCAGGTTTTTTTGTTGTGATTAGCTGTGATTGGCCACGGCTAATCACATGACACAAATGGGCTGTAATTGGCCCATCCTGTGCATGTGATCATTGTGACCATTCACAGCTAGACACACTTTTATACAATGGATGGCATGAAAGGAAGCCATCCATTGTATACGTGTCCGAGGTACGCGGCTGGTGACAGATCTCGCCACAGAGCAACCCTGAGGGCACGCGCAATGAGCGACCCGGGAAGGACGTCATATAACGCCCTCCAAGAGGCACAAGATGTTTGCCCGGTCATCATTTGACCATAGCCCAGGCTGCAAATGGTTAACAACACGGGGACATATCACATATGACTTCAAAATGACAGGAGGAAAGTTCAAAACCAATCTTAGAAAGTATTTGTTTAGCTTGTATCTAAAATACCAGTTTAGCTACAGTGCTCCAGTTTTCTGCCTTTTTCACTATGTAACAATGTACTAATACAGGGGTGGGCAACTGTGGCCCTCCAGCTGTTGTAGAACTACATGTCCCATGAGGCATTGCAAAACTGACAGTTACAAGCATGACTCCCAAAGGCAGAGGCATGATGGGACTTGTAGTTCACCAACAGCTGGAGGGCCACAGTTGCCCACCACTGTACTAATAGGTTTGTTAGCATTTTAACCCATATTTATTTTCAAATGCTATATTATTTAAGTGGAATACAGGAAATACGGAGAGTATGCAGATGCCCCAGATGCAGACTTATTTATTAAAAAAAAAACACAACTGGAGATCTTGTTAATAGTGACCAATTATGTCTCATCTTATGAAAATGAAGCATATATTACGATTTTTGTACTTGCTGTAAAATCTGTTTCATGAAATCTATTGAGGGACGCAGAAGGTTTGGGGCAAACAAAAATAAAATGCTGATGCCACTTGCTGTATAAACCTGCTTCTATACATTGTGCCTCAATTTTGTGAGCTAGCAGTAAAAAAAATACAACATCGCTGAGCACGATTTATGTCCTCAAATTGACTTAAAAAATTAATACAAAAATCCTATTTTCTTTATCATCCATTGCTGGACACAGTAATTCTTAAACAGGAATGTTCAAAAGAAAAAGGTGTCTATCTTCCTTATACACTAGCAAAAAAGCTGAGGTGTTATGTCTAAAAGCAAGATTATACTGGGACTGGCATCAACATTTTTTTGTTTGCCAATGTCGCAACAACCCGTAGTGGGCAGCAGAAACTGATTTTTAAAATTCCTCGATGGAAGATAAAGAAAATCTGAATAGTTACTCTGGAAAATTTTATTTTTAATTAGACTATTCATGATCCTCCATTTAGGCTCTGATCCTGACTTTCATGTGAGCAGCTGTTTTTTTTACTTTACATTTATCACTGGCCATTGAAGTTCACAGTATTTTAAATTGTTACTTAGCAAAGGAATTTTGTGGTTGGCATAGTGTATAAAAATGTTTATAGATACTTATTCATTTCATCTTTTTAGCTATAAAAAGATGCCTGGCTTCTGAAATGTGTGTGGTGATTGGTAGTGGAGTCTAGTGTACTGTAGTACTGATACTGGTTGCCTGTACATTATAGCCTTATGTGACTGTTATGGCGTGCATGAGATATTGATCTATATCTTATTAAATGTGTATTATTTAATTTTGAAACACTTAAGTAATGTAATTAAGGCTAATGCCAACATTCTTTTTTTTTTAGAAACACCTGTAAAAATACATCTAAAGGAACCTGCAGAAACAAAGAAAGGTATTAAAATATATCTACTTTCATAAAAAGCAATTCTCTAGCTCTCATCAAATGACCATACATATGCTGAGAGTTGCATCTTGGGAAAATTTTATCATCAGCTGCTGCAGAAAGGAGAAAGCATTTACTCAACCCCCCACTTATTGAGACTGCTGTAACAGTACACTTGTAATTAAAGTTATATAGTGTAAGCTCTGATAACATCCATCATCCATAGTGTAAGCTCTGATAACATCCATCATCCAACCATATGCAAGCAAAAATGCTATCTTTTACAGTATTTTTCTTCATATGATTGGGTATACCTTGCAAAGTGAAATTTCACTACATTTGCTAAGCTCTGGGGTTAAATTCCTTGCACTGTGCTACTTTCCTTGCAAAGTGAACAACATGTTTGCCTTCAGTAAATCAACCCCAAAATGCGTACACACACTTAATTAAATAGTACAAGTTACTGCACTAGTTCCATGATTTTTCTTAAGGGAAGCAGATGCTAACTTTAGATCATGTCTGAACAGATATTTTGTTGGTTTTCTGTTGAGAAAGAAGCCTAAAAAACATTGCCATGTGGAGTATGGGATCTCTTAGAGAAGTAATAAATACTGCAAATGTTACACATTACTTAATGTGTAAATGTACACATTACATACTGTTACTAGGATTAAATAGACATTTCAACCAGCAACTCCATGTAAAAGAAGAAGTTTGCATACCTGTGCAACATGGGGAGAGTCCATGTTTTACTCTTTTGCACAGCTATGGGCACTGTTGCTGTCCGGTGCCTCTGGATGTACCAGAGAGTGGGATAGCTTTGCTAAATGTAAATGAATGTGCAAATTGCAAATGTAGTTGCATTCATCTTCTAAATTTGGTAACGCTCTGCTGATTTCCATCATACAATCACGTGCAAGCAAAAATTTTTTTTTTTTATTTTCATTGCATCTAATTGGGTATTCTTTACAAACCAAGGCTTTACCACATTCACTAAGCTCTGAGGAAAATTAGTTCAACTGAACTTGCAAAGTGCAAGTTTAATTTGTCTTTAGTAAATCTACCCCAGTGTGTCCCCTTCTGTGTGCAGTGGATTGTTCCGCTGGCTGATTCTTCAATACTTAACTTTTCAAGAAAGTGAAGAATGAACTTGCAGCCTGCTGGACAGGTTTCAACATTTTATACCAGCATCTGAGTAACTATAGCATGAACAATATACCTGAGGCTAAATATGCTATCTAAAATGATTTACGTGTCATATTTTTGTTATACCAATATAAGTATTATTTATTCATAGAAGTTGGCGTAAAACTACATGAAGAGGACACTGCACCAACTAAGGAAGGTAATTACGATCTATACCTATATCATGCAGACAAATACATAATGACATCTGATTAAAATAGCAGTGTCTTAAAATGACAATATTCTACAAACTGACTTATTAATTTATCTTGGGTCTTATAAATCAAATTATTAGCATACAGCTATGTGTTAAAGCTGAATCTGGGCTGAAGACAAAGTTACCCTTCCAGTGGTTGCCCCTCCACTCAGCAAGGGTGTCTAAGGGATGAGGAATAAGTTGAATTACTTACCTTAGTATTTGCAGCAGCCAGTGATCTCCTCTACTGTCCTCTACTGTCCATTACTCCTGTGGGTGGGCACTCATTTTCCTAACATAGAATGCAGGACCACTGGCTCTTAAATAGTTGAAGTAAAAAGATAATAAACCAACAATAAATAAACAAACAAACATCTTGCATCCTCGGATCCCTAAAACCACAGCTCAGCACAATAGTGACATCACTTATGAACACAGTAGATTCACATTGCAGATATACAGCACATGAAGTACAAGTAAACTGTTGTTTTTTTTAAATAATTCAAGTCAAAAAGTCGATTTTCTAGGGTATTCCAGAACAATTAACATTTCTAAATTTTCAATTTAACAGCAAATGTTCACTATTTTGAGTTCAGGTCCCTTTTATCAAGCCCAGGTTACTGCAGGTATGAGCAGTATACCTGCAGTTTTTTTTCCTCCTGACAGAGTTTCTTTATGTAAACACAGTTTTGCTTTACTCACTTAGAAAAATGAAATTTATTGTTTGCTAAAATTTTACTCATCAACTACATTGTGCTGTGGGAAAGAGCAGTATTACAACAGTTTCTATGCAGCGTTTTTGGGATCAAATATTGAAATATTATGGTTAGTACTTCCACCTGCCTGGAGGTCATTGGTTTGAATCCCAACCATGACACCACCTGCCTGGAGTTTGTATGCTCTCCCTGTGCCTGTATGGGTTTCCTCTGGGTACTCTGGTTTCCTCTCACAATCCAAAGACATGCTGGTAGGTTAATTGGCTCTAAATCTAAGTCTAAATTGGCCCTTGTATGTGTATGTATGAATGTAAGTTAGGGTCATTAGATTGTAAACTCCTTGAGGGTTGGGGACTGATATGAATGTGCAATATATTTGTAAAGCACTGTGTAAATTGATGGTGCTATAGAAGTACCTGTAATAAATAAATAAAAAAGAAATCATTCAAAAAAGTGTTTTCCCCTGCTGCATATTTGTCAGTAGCACACAGTTCAAAAGGAAAAATTACATTTCAACAAAAAAGCACACTTGTCTGACATGGGGCAGATTTGATTTAGGACTATTGGCAAAAGAAAATAGTAGTACATTTCTACAACATTTGAACTGACTGTCAAATTTTTTTTATAATAATAATACCAGGGATAACACCTGAAAAAGTGATAACACCTGAAAAAGAGCGAACAAAAAGTAAGTAGTTGTGATGTATCCTGTGTTCGAACATGAGTAAATGTTCTTGAAGGGTCACATATACTGACAAATAAATATCTCACTGTCTATTGCAGAATTTAAACCCTCCAAGAAATTGACTATGTTTCAATCCAAATATGTTTTTTTCAATATCTGATATAAAATAAAATATGGATTTTTATTGCATACAATTTATTGTTGAAATACATATATATTTCCTTTTTTTACCTGCAATAGAATTTGTAGTTCTGGTCAGCCTATCTCCTTTTATATGTATCTCTTACCTAACACAGAGGCAAACAAATTGCACCCTTATTTCCCAGTTTGGTTATTGAAATTTCTGTCTCAGCTTTGTGGCATCTGTCTTGAGTATTCACCAATAGTAACATGAATTAAAAGAGATGTATGGGCAAAGCTTTTTTGGCCATACTTCTCTTTTGGGACACGGGAGTGCTCTTCTACTTACCTACATGCTCTGACCCAGAATCAGTCAATAGCAGGCTTTAGCCACATCACAGAACTATTTCAGACTCTGGAAGGATCCCAACAATAATGTTGGGATCCACCCAGAGGCCTGACTGCCAGCTGGCTCATCCTCTCAGTGCACCATTGAGAGCCTTAGCCAGCAACTACCACCCTCTCCCTAGTCCAGCACTCCAGTGAGCACTGGAGGAGCACAGCAGAGAGTGGAGATTGACGGTTAGTTCTCTCTGCTCTGCTGAGTGGACCAAGAACAAAGTGATCAGTGGCAGGGGCAAACTGACCATTTGGAAACTCGGGCACTGCCCGAAGGCCCGGGGTCAGTAGGGGGCCCCATGAGATGCCCCTGGTACCTTTTTCATAGGCTTTTTTGAGTTTAGGCAAGGACACAGGGGCCCCATGATCCCCTATTTCCCGGGGGCCCCATGAGTTGTCAGTCCACCCCTGATCAGTGGTCATGTACTGGTAGCAGCATCAGACCGATGTTGCAGTCATTTAGTTGAGTTTGTGTCTGTTTTTTTATGTAGCCCACACTTTTCCTTTAACCATTTTCTGTGTCCAGAGAGCACAGGGCTTCTCACAGAAGAAGTTCTTTAAATATATCTAATCTTTGCTTGAACTGGCCATATCACTTTTTTCATGCTGTGTAAAACTAGCTTTGGATGTACTATGTACTACATTCCTAGTTGTACAAGTGTTTAGCACTTTAACCACTTTCTGTCTGCCCGCCAGCCCGTATTGTACTGCAGACGGGCAGCAGCTACAGATACAGCGATGTACTGGTACTTCCTGTGGCTGTACCATCACAGGGGGGGGGGGGCACAAAGCTCCCCCCCGACGCAACCACTATGTCCACCGAACACAGTGGAATGCGGATCCTGGTAATTGTGATCACATAATCACATTGTTAGCAAAGCTGGTATGAATCAATCTGATTATTAACCACTTGAGCTCCAGAGGATTTACCCCCCTTAATGACCAGGCCTCTTTTTGCTACTCGGCGCTGCACTAATTCAACTGATAATTGCGCGGTCATGCAATGCTGCACCCAAACAAAATTTACGTCCTTTTTTTCACACAAATAGAGCTTTCTTTTGGTGGTATTTGATCACCTGTGCGCTTTTTATTTTTCACGCTATAAACAAAAAAAGGCCAAACATTTTGAAGAAAAACAATATTTTTTACTTTCAGCTATAAAAAATATACAGTAAACTCAAAGTTAGTTATAAATTTAGGCCAAAATGTATTCTGCTGCATGTTTTTGGTAAAAAAAATCCCAATAAGTGTATATTGATTGTTTTGTGTGAAGTTATAACGTCTACAAACTATGGTATAGATACTGCAATTTACACCATTTTTCTGCTATACAGAGCTGCGCTAGTTTAACGGACAATTGCGCAGTCATGCAATATGGTACATAAATGAAATTTACATCCTTTTTTTCCCCACAAATTCAGCTTTCTTTCGGTGGTATTTGATCGCCTGTGTGGTTTTTATTTTTTGCGCTATAAAAAAAAAGGCTGACAATTTTGAGGGAAAAAAAACAATATTTTGGACTTTTTGCTATAAAACATGTCCAGTAAAAAAAAATGCAAAAATCAAATTTAGTCATAAATTTCTGCCAAAATGCATTCTGCGACATGTCTTTGCTAAAAAAAAAACAATACGTGTAAATTAATTGGTTTACGTGAAAGTTATAGCGTTTACAAATGGCGGGAAAGATACTGGAATTTTTAATTTTTATTTATACTAATAATGGCGCCGATCAGCGACATATGGCGGCAATCAGCGACATATGACGGCGACCAGCGACTTATGGCGGGACTGCGGGACTGAGGCGGACATTTTGACACTGGGGGGGAGATGACTTGGGGTCACTGACATCCCCAGTGACACCAATACAGTGATCAGTGAAAAAAAACCACTGAAACTGTATTAATGTCACTGGGGAGGAAGGGGTTAACATTTTTAGTGTTCACTGTGTGAGGGGAGTGTTTTACTAAGGGGGCGGGGGGTGTGTGCTGGACGGGGGGGGAGGGAGGGGGGAGCTGATCGAGGGAGAGAAACTGTATTCTCCCTCTGCAGCTTGGCGGCGAACTGTCACAGAGCAGGCTGTGTGTAAACAATGCAGCCCTGCTCTGTTTCAGTGTTTACCGCTCATCGCGGGAAAACGGCCAGTAAAAACCGGCCGTGACCCGGCGGCGGGGACACGCTGCAGACACCCGTGGGACAGGTAGGGCGGGCACGTGCCTCGCGCGCGCCCCCTGCCTGTTTTGTAGGCACACGTTTTAAAACGTGCTTTTGCCTACGAGCGCCGCCCTGCCACCGTTTATATAGCGGTGGCTGGGCGGCATGTGGTTAACAACCTTGCTTCTCTTCCTGGTGAGCTGTGGTTGGCCCACAGTTCTGACATGGTAAATGGGACAATCAAAGCACCATGTACCATGTGATTAGTATAGCCAATCGCAGATCACTATTACTATCACAGATCATTATTATTTTGAACTGTCATGAACCAATTCATGACAGTTCAAAGCAAGCATTGCATTGCAGGAGCAATAATAATTTTGCTCCTGCAATGTAGCATGATGTTACTATGGTAACATTGCACTAATCTGAGGAAAGTAATTTAAAAAAAAAACAATAAAAAATAATGTTAAAAGAACTGAGAACATTTTTTTTTTTATTTGGTAAGGTTTCTTTAAACCATTTGTTGACCCCCCGCCCGCAATGTGCGGGCAAGCGATGGCTCTAGGCAAAGCAACATACCCTTATGTCCCTTTCTGATAATGTGCCCCCCCCCCCCCTGCCTGTCTGTCCAGGGAAAGAATACAACACTGTGAGTAATAGTGCTACATTTTACACACACACGTTAGATTAGCACATTTAACACTTTGATCGTCCCCGTTAACCCTTTGATCACCCCGTCATCCAACCAGTGCCATTAGTACAGTGTCATTATATAGAATTTTTCACTGATCACTGATCAGCGCCCCACCCAGCCAGGGTCAGCTAGCGTTAGATTGCTTGCACACTATCGCACTCACGCTATAGGTCGCTGACCACCGCCATTACTTATATAGTGTTTATACAGATCAAGATATTGATCACATACAAAACTATACTAATGCCTCCTTTGTATAGTGTCCCCAAAAACGTATAGTTAGCAGGGTCAGCCACATTTGCTGCCAGCATTAGCGACATCAGATAGCATCAGGGTCACTCTCCCAGCTAGTGTCAGCTGTTGTTAGATTGCCCACACACTATCGTACTATAGGTCGCTGATCACCACCATTACTAGTATAGTGTTTATACAGGTATATGGATCCCAAACAGAACTATTTTACTGTCCCCCTTATTATAGTGTCCCGAAAAAACTCAGTGTTAGCAGGATCAGCCCCATTCACTTGTGTTTAGCCTCTTGCTGGAAGATTTGTATCAATTGGTTGTGGGCCAAAGCTATCTATACAAATAACAATACATTGCCACCCACCCAAACTGTTCTTGCCAGACATTTCACATGGAAACCTATCCCGGTTTCCAAATTTAAAACTTTTTGGGGCCTAACCCACACAGCATAGGCATTACAAAAAAAGAATGAATTGCAGTCATATTGATCCACAGACCTAATTCATCATATACCCATGTTCTCTGCTGTTACATACTAGTGATGGGCTGAACACCCCCCTGTTCGGTTTGCGGTCGAACATTTGAACCTAATTAATGTTTGACCACGAACTTCGAACTTAATTCAGGTCTATGGGAATCAAACTTGTAAATTCAAACGTGGCCATTTTGAAGGCAATGTATTGGCCATAAAAGGGGTATGGGGACTTGGGTACTGCCCTGATGGACATGAATCAGTTAAAAAAAATTTAAAATACCATTTTTAACCACTTGCCTACCAGGCACTTATACCCCCTTATTTACCAGGCCAATTTTCAGCTTTCAGTGCTGCCGCACTTTGATTGACAATTGCGCGCGCGGTCATGCAACATTGTACCCATATGAAATTTTGATCATTTTTTTCTCACAAATAGAGATTTCTTTTGGTATTTAATCGCCACTGGGCGCTTTACTTTTTGCGCTATAAATAAAAAAAGTGCAAAAAATTTGAAAAAAAAAAGTTTCTTTGTTTCTATTATAAAATTTTTCAAACAGGTAATTTTTCTCCTTCACTGATGTGCGTTGATGAGGCAGCACTGATGGGCACTGATAGGCGGCACTGATGGGCACTGATAGGCAGCACTAAAGGGCACTGATAGGCAGTACTAATGAGGTGGCACGGATAGGCGGCACTGATAGACAGCACTAATGAGGTGTCACGGATAGGCGGCACTAATATGCAGCACTGATAGGCGGCACTGATAGGTGACACTGATGATGGGTACTGATAGATGGCACTGACTGGCATCACTGCTGGGCACTGACTGGCAGCACTGACTGGCACAACCGCTGGTCACTGACTGGTGGCACTGACTGGCAGCACTGCTGGGCTGCACTAGTGGGCAGCACTGGTG